AAACACATCTGCTGCTCATAGAATTAGGCCATCACCCAGGATGTGTACACACTGACTCATCACATCCATCACACCCAATTGCAAGCAGGTAGTTTTGAGAAGTTCTTCTCCTGTGACATTTCCTCCATCAACAAACAAATCAACTGCAAAATCTGCAGTTAAGAGGCGGCAAGACGAAGCTGAATGCAGCTGTATAGGGCACAGTGGACTGCCCTACCAGTGCTGACCATACCAAACATTTAATGCAAGAAGTTAATATTCTCCAAACTCAGTGTTCCATATTTAGCAGTTAGCATGGAGGGAAAATAACTTATTTGGGAGATAGTCGCTTCTGTTGCTCGGCTGCACAAAGAACTCAGACAGACATCTGGGAGAGGAGGAGGAGAAAGGGGGGGAAGGAAGGTAAGAGGAGATGAAGAAGAGATGAATGAAAAGCTGACAGATGAGAGGACAGACCATGGGACAGAAGAAAAACTAAACCTGGTTTTCTACATGTAGCTGGCTCAGTGTGGTACAGATACCTGCAAGTAACCTCTTCCCTGTTTCTGATCTTGAGTGCTTACCTCAGGACAAGCATAACCTACCACCACTCAACACAGTGAGACAGACAGACACAGAGAGAGAGAGTGGGCACAGTGCTGACCTAAGTGCATCTCTAGAGGGAATCACACCCACCCGGGGAGGGGGGGGGTTTATGCTTCCAAAAGCATTCACTTCCAACCTTTTTTGTCCATCACAGCATGCAATCAAGCAAGAAAGCAAGCACTGGCATTGTTTGATGAGTTTGTACAGTGCACTTCTCTCTACCCCGCCGTCGTACTCTGTGTTCCTGTACTCCTTTTTCCTCTGCCTTGCGGTCCTCTCCTCTTTTTGATGTGCTTCTGTCTCTCTTATTCATTCCTGCCGTGGGAGAATCTAGTTTTCCCCCTCAAGTTAGGAGATAAAAGACAAAAGTGATTCTGCCAGAGTACTGCCTGCAAGTGGAAGAAAAGAGCAGGAAGTGAAGAGAAGTGGGACAGAGGACAGAGGTAGAGGAGTACAAAAACCACCCAGAGAGCACTGTTACAAAAAGTCCGATTATCTTATTTATGGAGCTGCAGAACTCAAAAAGAGCAACCACACCTTTAAGTCAAAATGAGGAATGATCAGTGATGCTATAAATCCATAAATAAATGTTCTGTTATAGCATAGCCATGCCCTCTGCCTGCCATTCTGCCACCCTCAGCTGCTGCAGAGTGGGAGCGCTTATCAAGAATTAATGAGGCCTTTTACATGGAAAGTTAACAAACCACAGTTTTCTGGCATCTACGATTCCTAAAGCTCAGTAAGCTTGAGCTTTCAAATTCTGATGAACAAGTTGTTTAAAAGTACCTGATGAGTCATCTTAGATTAGCACTTCCAGATCGAATCCACTTGTACAATGATGAGGAAAATACTTCCCCAACCCTCAAATGCAGTCAGGCAAAGAAGAAGCTGCCAAGAGAGCACTGTCAAGTCCATAACAGCTGGATCAGTGAGCGTGCCACATTTTCCTTTTAGCATCCTTAAAGGGTTAGATGCGGATGGAGGCTTATTAATGTTCTTCAGTGGTCACCACCTTTCTGCAGAGATCTGAAGACTCAATCCAAGACCATGTGAAAGCTTTTTTTTCAGTGAGTGATGCTTTTTTTTGTGTGTGTGTGTGTGTGCATTCACTGATTTAATGAACAGAGTACATCCATCATAAAAACTAACTGGGTGACACAAAGTGTACTGCAAAATCACTCAAATGGCTGATGGTAATGACCAGCTTGAAACCCATTCCTTTGTGGAAATGACCTGCTGAAGTGGAAATTATTCATAGTGTTTTTAACATTTTACACAGCAGCTATTTTGATGCATAGTTAAGGCCTGGAGGCAAATTCTCTGTCAAAGTCAGCTAAGTTTAAGTCATTCAGTGTTTGAATTCAAAAAGTAGCATTTACTGGACTCTCTGTAATGGGCCATTCACAGGAAACTTGACAGATTTATTTCATGCACAGATACAACCACACACTCACTAAAGCGGGGTGGCTTACCAGAAGTTGACCAGGAATGGATGTTCCAGGTTCTGCATGATCTGCAGCTCTTTCAGGGCATTCCTCACTTCGTTCCGCTCCACACATTTGAGCTTGTTCATGTACTTCATGGCGTACATCTTCTTAGTGTCCTTCTTCTGCACAATGCAGACCTGACAAGATCACATAAGGGTACATTCTTTCATTGCTGTGGTCAAAACAGTCTGAATATTTTGTTGGTGTCCAGCTTTTTTCTTTCAGTACTTTGAAGGATGTTAAAAACAAGTATTATGCAGCATTGCTTTCTACGAAGGTATCAGCTATACATTGTAATCCTCATTGCTGGTATGATAAACATCATGATAAAATAGGATATATATCACAAAGTCACAATGTAATTTTCAAAATGTAGTCATGAAGTAGTCAGATGCATCATTCCTCAGTTGTAACAATGACAGAAAAAGTGTAGTGCTCCATCATTGCTAATAAGTCTATAGATTTATTTGTTTAAGGTAACATTATGATATTATGTTTGACACATTGAAAAGCAAAGTAGTTTTGCAAAAATGTTGCAACAGGCAGAGATTTATTGCATATTGCACATGAACAAATTGAGTGTTAGTAACATCACTGCAATAACCTGAAATGTCCATCTAACAAGACTGGAAGGAAACTTCAGGATTTCTTTTAATCTCTGACATCAAGAATTTAATCCTCCCTTGAGATGTTGAACTTTTCACACCAGTGTGTTTTGCAGATGGAAAATGTGTTAGCAGTCATTAGAATTGCTGGTACATGTCAGTAGGGAATGCTTCTTTCAAAGTTTCATTATGATGCTTTCAAACATCAGTCACTACTTGCATTAGTGGAAATAAATAGCGTGGCTGATGTGACACAGCAAAACCTAAAATATAACATCTGGCGCTGTCCGGGTAGTTGTGATTGCATGTATGTATCAAACTGTGCATGATTATCTCCTTCTAACTGTGTGACTGTGAGGATAGACAGTATGTGCAATATGTAGCAGTGTTATATCCCATATTTATTTGTAGCCGTGCCTGTTTGCACTACAAGCATCAATGAGCCAGTGATTGCTGTTATCTAAGGGAGTGATCTGTGGACCAGCTGGCACAGTTAATCAGCCAGACCCTGATCGCATCACTCCTTCCATCCACTGTGATTAGACTTCTTATCCGTTGTTGGACCGAGTGCTGTTGCTGTGTGGGTCTGTGTTGTGGGTATGCATGTGCACGTGAGCGTGCGTGTCCGTGGCTATATGTGCATGCATATAATGTGAGTGTGGATGTGAATTACTCAGCTGTATGTGGATTAAAAAGCAAGAGGAAACGCGACTGCTGTCACCTCAGATGTGTTTCCACAGAGCTGCCAGTTGGTGATGAGCAAATTAAACCAGATGGCTTTACTTTGGTGTATGTGATAAGGATGTACTGGAACTACATGGTGCACCTTATGTTAACAAAGCTTTTTGCAAGGAAATCAAAGGGGATCACGTTGAGCTGAAACAAGTAGCCGATAACTGGCAGGTATTTTAAGAATCTTTTTTTTTTCAGAAACGCTCAAATTTTCCTGCTTCTGTCTTTAAACCATTTTCTTACACTTTACAGATCAAGTGAAAAATCTGTAAAATACAGTAGTTGATAGATTAATTGATAAGTGAGCAAACAGTATCTGGGTCTAACAGGCATGAAATGTGTGAACAACAAGATATTGTATTTGCATGTGTTCTGTGATGCTGGATACATTTTTGGTGGCTAGTGTCCTGTTATATTTGTCTCATTTTTGAATGCATCTGTTGTGCTTTGCCTTTTATTAATGGATCAGTTTCATATATATTGCTTTATCTTTCAGCCTGTTGGTGAGTCGAGCCCCTGAGCTGACTAAGGTTTACTGGCCAGGTATGTTGAACACATGAGGGATTTGACTTTGGTAGAAATATGTTCTCAAATATGCTAGAACCTTACTTCAAATGAATGAATCTCTGAGTAACATGGAACACCTTTTCCTCCTCTAGTCTATAAAGAAACCTCTAACAAATGTGGACTTACCTTTCCAAAGCTCCCTTTTCCTATCGCCCTCAAGATCTGGAAGTGGTCAAAATTAACTGTGGGGATGAAAATCTTCATTAACTTATATGAAACACAAAAAAGACATTTAAACCTGAAATTCTATTTTTTTTAATCTCTTTTCATCCTTACTATTACTTACAACGTGAAACTACTTTACATGATCAACTGTAAATACTGTTATAAATATGCACTACATGAAAATGTGTTACAGCTAAACCCACACAGACAAATGACATTTCCATGCTCTTTACGATAAAATCTAGATCACTGAATTACTACAATACAAAGAGAAGAGTGTTAAATGAGTCAGGACAGTTACAGTAGGTTCACTGTGAGGTTGGCTTTGAGCTCAGATGAGCTGAAGCAGGTGGAGGTCTCCAGGCCAACCGGAGGTCAATGACATTATATAGCAGAGAAGTGAAATAAGCTTCTGCACAACGATGACTTTTATGAGCACTGTGTGTCTGTCCTCTAAACAAAAGACATGTTTTAACTTTCTTTGGTATCCTCATAGACTTTGTTTCACTCTGGCCACTCCCTCGCTCTCCTTCTGTCTCCCTTGTACACAAAGACGCACATACACACAGACACAACTTAAACCAGCGCTGTACTCTCTCTCTCCTCAATCTATCAGCAGCATTTATCACCAATTAGAACCGGATGTGGCTGTTTGTTTCTTGCTGCCATGACAACCAGAATATAAGGTTTTCCCTTTTTACTATTTCCCCAAGGGTGGATCACTCTCAACACTCATCTGCCCACATGCATATTAACAAAGTATTCAGTGTTTTTCAGAAATACACAAAAGCTAACTTAAAGCATTACCTGCACCTCTTGCAACAGTACACACACGTGTGCACACACACATGTGCACACACACGCCACATACTCACACATCTGCTTGCAGTCACTAGATCAACTAGATGTGACAGCTAATGTTATGCTCTGTTAGTCACATATCACGGGCATTTCCTCCTCCTCTCACTATCTGTGCTGGAGTGTTTACACAACCTACTCTGATAGGGACCATATGAGGCCTGCTTTATAATGCACACACACACACATATATACTGTATGCACAGACTTACAGGTGCTAATGTATAAGCTCAACACACGCAAAAATGCATACTTCAGATAAACTGATTATTTCCCTGCTGAGCTACATAGAGATTTTGCTCTGACGGCTTTTCCAGAGAATACGACTGTGGCTGTGGATGGGAGGCCAGAGCTCTGTGATCACAGGGAGAGAGAGAGAGAGTGAGCAAATCGAACCAAGAAAGAGAGGGAGGGAATAAGATGGAGACTGTCATATTTTACAGGCAGAGTTTTGAAAGGTTTAATGTGATGTCTGAAATGATGCATGAGTGGAAATGACACATTGACAGCTTTGATATGACTTAAACTAACTAAGGAAATCAACTAACTGGCTCATTTGCTAGTCAGTTTGAATTTGACTGACACTTGCTAATCAGTTTGGACTGAAGTAATTATGCTTGTTCACTCTGAGTCTGTCACGCTGTCTGGATGACTGGACTCTACTGTATGTCTGTTTCTTTTTCTGTCCACCAGAAGGTGTCTACGTCCCTGGCTCTGACCACACTAACCCTGCTAAATTTGAAAACTCATCTTTTTTTCCAGGCCTCCATCTATCCTAACAGTCCTCATATTCTGTTTATACTACACTGGACATGTTCACATGTAATCAGTATGTACTGTACACAGTTTGGTTATACAGTCCTCTGAGTGGATAAACTAGACCCTGGGCACCGTCCTTTCACCTTTAACCTTCTTTGTGATTATTTAGTTTATATTTTTCTTATTATCAACAAATCCCAAGAAATGACCAAAACCACCAATGTGTTGGTCTGGTTCTCCTCTTTCCAACTTGCTTACCATGTCTTTTACATTCAGCCCCATGCACATTGGTTCCTACTGAAGAAATTATGTCTTATACAGTTATAGGCTCTATTCCATTATAAAGCCTCATCCGGTTCTTTCAAACCAGGAACTCCGAGGGACGACTCAGACCACTTGAGTATATAAAAAATATAACCGTGCTGGTTTATTCAAAGAGTCACAGGCAAGCATTAACACTCCAAGTCCAGAGATCTTCCAACCCCAGGCTGCCCACGCAGCCCGGAAGCAGCAAGACCCCGAACCCAGCATTGCTATACAATATTAATCCTTTCTGGGCTGTCGAACCGTGACGTCACCCGATAAGCAAGCCTTGCAGCTGCTATAATGTTTAGCCAAAACATGAGGAAAAGTCAAGGTGCGTGACTGTTGTTTTTGTGGTGTGTATCTAAAACAATTGGACATAACCTTACACATTAAGACAAATATTAAGACTAGCATTACAGTTGACACTAACAGCAGTTTTCCTGTAACCTTGACGTGCCTGCAGTCTGCACTGCAGGCTGAATAGTTAACAGCCTAAGCCAGTCACCCTGTCTGAACTAAACATTCATAGACAACAAATCTCTGAATATCTATCTAACTAAAAAATAACCCAACAATTACATAGATATATTTTTAAACGAAAGGTTCATTAATTACCTAAAACAGCTGAACAATTACAGTACTCAAACAGGAGGAAATGGTGCATATTCTGGGGACTATTTTCATCTTGTAGTGCGAGCCTGTTCAGGATTAGTGGTATAGATACTGGATGGATGGATGTGGACATACTGTTTAATTCTGTTACTCCTCCTCTCACTCCCACTTCTCACACAGAAGCCTGTAAACCACTTAGGGACCCACCGATGAGGGAACATCTGCACTCATGCTGTTGCTCTGACAACTGAAACGGAACCCATGGGTCCATGTGCTACTACAATGTGAATAAAGCATGATCAGCAGTGAACCCGTCCATTAACCAGGGCCTCCCGGATAAACAAAGTGGAAAACATATGTGCACATGCAGGGGACGCACATTATTCTCTGAGGGGATCAACATGTTGTGACAGAGTTCACCTTCATGCACACGCCTCTGTGTAAATTTGATAATATGACTGTGAACTGCAAGCATCTGTCTCTGCACTGAAGCCAGCGAGGAAAACGGTCTGTAAATCTGTTCTGAAAACAAATTCTACAATTTAAAAATGTACCAGGATACAAACATTCTATTTGGAAACTCAATTGAAAATGCTGCTGCTTTACATGCAAAATACTTTATGTCTAGATTGTTTTGTGTCTGTAGCGGGTAACAGCAGATAATCTTTAGATACATAACAGCCTCAAACTGCATTTGTAATCCTAAAGAAAAATCATGTTGATATGGCAATTTAAATATTTGGTGTACACACTACACTGTGCAACAACAAGATAAACTGAAAAGAGGAAACTAAAATATTCTTCATAACTTTACATTAGCTAACATGGATGTGCACTAATAATGTCATTTTCATTAATGTTCAGTTAAATGATAGGATAAGGCCACTCATCTTCTATATTAACAGTATTTTAAACACTCCTCCTACAGAGGCTGACAATGAATTGCCTCTACTCATATTAGATGTCTGTCGTGTGACAGGCCTGGATTATTGTATTCATCTGTGCCATAGATCTTTATTGTTGTTCAAAAACAATTAAAAACATGTCAGGGAAGCACACCGCTGCACTGGGTGACATGATTCCTCATTACACTCCAAAGGCTCCGAATGGCCATAACTTTTTACAGCATCTACAGCAAGAGTCAAGGGCCCGTGCACGAGATCTCTGAATAATCTCAACAAATACTGTATTGGGGTTTTGTGTTTTATAATGAGGCAATGTCACTTATACTCATCGTGCACTGACCACTAACTCTCATCATATGATCAAAATTGGACATTAGATTTCATGTTAATAATCCATGTTAAAATGAACAAAATAACAACTCTGGGTTCTTCTTTTGGTTTCCTGTCTGATTTTGCAGTTTTGATTTTTTTCATAAGATGTTATAATCATGTGAAGTGCAATCATTGGCAATATAAATCATTAGCCCTGTATTTCTATTCATTTGTTCTGTCACGCCACTGCGCCTTTTTTACTTTTTACTTTTTTGTCTCCCGCTCTGTTTACCTGTCTTCTTCCTCCCTCTTCTTCTCTCACATCCCTGTCTTTCTCCCTCTCTCACCCAGTCACACACTGTTTCCCCTTTATCTTGGGAGAACACGGTGTATAGAGCAGCCAGGGGATACAATAGCCATGCTGCAATGTCGAACAATGACACCGATGTCAAGTATCCCCCCCGCCGGGTTCCTCTGACCTCCAAAGGAATTTGGTGCCTGTCGCAAACATGAGTTCCGGATGACTTTGTTCCAATAAGGAGGGATTTTTCTCAAATGCAAACGATGTGTCTCTGTTTATTGTTTCCTTGGCCTTCATGAAACCACCCACACACTATTTTATGAGTGAGAAAGTGCACTGTTACATGAACTCAGAATTTAGACAAGCCGTCTTTTTTTTCTTTCAGAACAGCAGGCGAGATGACTAAGCACCAATGATGATTTCCTCTTTGACAGAGGTTTCCACCAGTGAAAAAGAGAAAGGCACAGATATGGATTTCATTAGAGGATGTGATGCAGTAATTTGACACAGGCTGGAGAAAATTACTTGGGTTTGTCACAAAATAATGAAATGTATAGCTCAAGGGCAATTTAAAAAAATCTTTTGACAGTTAATGGAGCATTATTCCATCAGATGAGTTAAACTGAAAATAGATATGACATGACTAGTTTGTACCCTTAGAAAAAGAAACATGATTAGCAGTGACACCTGTTTCCTCCACAGTAAGGAAAGAACTTGGGAAAGCAGCTTCACTTCTCACTAAATCAGTTGTAATGCTCACTTATTCGAACTCCTTAGGGTGCAGCCAAAGTGGGATTAATTTGAGAGACTAACTCAGATCAATAAATTCACATTGTATTATCTCCTCAGGTTACATAAAAAAGGGAAATAAATTCAAACCAAGAGGTTTGCCAATCAAAGTAATAGCTCCTTTCAGTGCTTTGATAATGGCCAGTCCAAAAAATCTGAAGATACCATCTTAAAAAGATTTAAGCAGTTTTCATTCATCGCAAATATGGAGACTTTAACACCAAAAATATAATTTGAGAAAAATGAAGAAGAGTTCCAGAAAACAAGTTTTTATTCATTTTTATATCATTTAATATAAGTATTGCTTTGCCCAAATCAAAGAGTGTACAGTATGGGGTATTCCTCTTTTATATTGCTGAGGAAGCCAAGTGGCAGACCTAATCAGCATTACACTGGGCTAACTGTTTACTGTAAGTGCACTTAATGGCAGATACAGCAATAAGAATAGTTTAACACATTGATAAGGCTGCAGGAAAGCTAGACATTCCAGGATTAGGCAGGTAAACACTGCTCACAACCTGTGTCAACTCAAGTTTGTTTTACCAGCCTGCCCTGTTCATCTTCACCTGATCTGAGGCACAGAAGTAGACAGGCAACAAGAAGAAAAGTCAGATAAGATTTCTGGATGCTTTTGCACTTACCCTCATCTGTGTCATTAGTGACTGGAGTCTTGCTGGACTGTCCAAGTCCCATGGCTGCTCCTCTTTCAGATGCTCCTGTTCTGCTCCTTCAGCTCAACTCAGCATCGAACGGCTCTCCCTCTGGGATGCTCTCATAGCCTGGTCAACACTTGCCCCGCTGACACACACACACACAGCCTCACATGCTAAACTGCTCGACCCTGCTGGTTCTATTTCGCTGACTTGAACAGGTCCAGTTTTCCTCTTAACTCTCTACCTGGACACACATCACTGCTCGTGCACATGCACAGTGGAGAGCTTGGGGGAACAATGAAGGCACTGAAGGGCTGACACACACACACACACACACACACAAGAAGTACCAGTACACTGTGAGTTTCCTGTCTGTCCTCACTGCTGTTTAGATGAATGCAGGATGACAGACGACTCTTGCCGGCCAGGAGGAGGGTGAATGATGTGTTTGTGGCTGTAAACCTCTGTAGACTCAGAGTGTAACCTGTGAGGGGAGGCAGGAAAAGACGTCACAGAGGAGGCGGGGCAGCAAGAGGGAGGGAGGGGAGCAAAAAAGTATAGAGGAGCAGCATCTAATGATCAATGTGAAATTTAGTTTGATAAAAAGATTTCAAGGCAGTGAAAGAAAAGAAAAATTGAAAAATTGCTTGCAAACTTAAATGACCAGTGCAGCAATAGGACAACCTGTACAGTAGTTTAGTGAGCTTGTGGTTTCAATCCTCCTGACTTTCCTCCTCTGTTCCTTCCTTCTCTCCATCATTTGTCATTTATCAGTTGCTTATTTTTTTATATTTTAATCAGCACATGAGCACCATCTACAGTGCATGTGTGATGAATGGCATGATCAATTTTCCCAATAAAAGCACAGCAGTGTAGGCTTGTGAGTTATTGTTTGCTGGCCATAAATGGAATCCCTCAGGTTGCCCTCTTCAGGACAAGAAACAAAATGAGTTTATATTTTGTCTAACCTACTATTTTGTTCCCTGTAAGCCCAAGATATGGAAATATCACCTGTAGATGTCTTATTACCTGTGCATCTTATGATGGGATATTTCTCCAATAGCCTTATCTTATTATCAATAAATAAGATGAGTTTATTTCAAGTTACCAGATTGCACAATATCACTAACGTATTCATATTACAGCTCTGCTCTCAGTGATTTGCTACTGTATTGTGAACAAATGACCGCTTGACCCGCAGTAATATGACAGGGAAATGACAGAACTGAGTTATGAGATGCATTTGTGGGTTAAACAGGCAAACTTCAAGTAATCGTAGCAACATTCAATCCTCTAGTGTAACCCTTACATGTATGTCGCTCTCGGACTTAACAGGATCCCCACACTGTACTGAATTATAGAAAAAACTAGTGTGGGGAGCCGCAGTGCCGAGCGCCCGCAGAGGACACCGTGCTGGAAGCCCTTATCTGATCACATGGGAGAAACATGCGCTGAATAGAAAGTACCCCACCTGCATCCATGCAGGGCAGCTGTGGACACCTACCTGTGAACGAAGCCGGCTGGTTGAGCACACTGTAGGATCATATCCAGCCAGGTTTGCTGCAGAGACGTGAAGCGGCAGCGGAGCAACAGTGCTCGGACAACACCGAACACCCGAAAGACAGATCGAACCACACAGCGAGACGTGATTTGCAGGAGTTCAGTGCAAAATCTACAATTGTTTCAGGGGCACTGGGGGGACTCGGGGGGGTTTGGGGGGAGCGGCTCGGCGCGCTGCGCTCATGAGCGACCGATTTCCACATCGCCGACCGTGTGGAGCTGGCTACACCGTGCGTCTGGAGAGGCACGTTTTATAGGCTGGCAGGGGGGGCCCGGGCCGCTGTGGGACTGAGATGTCCCCGTCATTAGCTTTCGCTCATCTTCAAAATAAATAAATGAAAAGTCGTATCCCCAATAACCTACACTTTAGGAGAGATATTGCTGGAATATTAGCTATATTTTTACAAGCTGCCTTGAAATGGGATTTTCAATGTTAACTTTAAATGGCAGTCAGATCCAGAATCCAGAGCAGATCTGGATGAAGTTTGATCTGTTGATTGACATTGCCATCTCATATATATGTGTCAGATTTCAAACAAAATCATTTTGATAACTTTTGACAGAGATATTAATTGTTTGTTTTTTTAAGTTTTGCCCCATGTTTAAGATGGGAATTCTCTTGTTGTGATTTTTTTTTTGTTGTTGTTATTTTTGTGACCTTGACCTTTGACCCTTTTCAGCCTAAATATAATCACTTCTAGGGTTGGTCCCCACCAATGTCTGTACTGAGTATGCTGATGATCCATCCAGCCATTTATTCATAATCCAACAAACACACACACATGATACCAAAAACCAAACCTCATTGGCAGAGGTAATGATGGAATGCATAGTATACATTTAGTATACTAATGTATTAGTATCTTAGTATTGCCTGTGTTTTTTTTTCTTAGAGCAGACTGTGAGGCTAAGCTCTCTACTGGGTTGGAGGTGGAGACTGAAGAGGCAGAGAACAAGATTTCTGCTCAAAGGGGGAGAGAGAATCTGGAGTTGCTCCAGGGGCTGAGCAGGATGTTCTTAGCCAAGAGTTAGAGGGCCTGAAAACAAGACTGGATGAGTTGACCTCAAACAACCTCCGCCTTGTCACCAACCTCAAGGCTGTGGAAGAGGTGAATCAGGCCCTTCATAAAGAAAACTGAAGGAGTAGGAGTCTCTCACTGTTTTACAGGCACTTGAACTGTTGCCAGGGAGAAGAAGCTCCTGGAGAGAGAGAAAAGATCATGGACATCCCACAGGTACAGAAGTGCATAGCTGCCTGAATGTGTAGGAGAGTTTTCAGTTGTTCTCTGGGAACTTTAAACAATAAGCGCATTCACCTTATGCATGGCAGCTTTATGATTCATTTGCAGTGAATATCCAGGGCTGTAAAACCATGGTATGTATTTGCTGCATTGAAATGTGCTGCCTTTTGGGAAGACTTATGTAGTCCTCTCATGCATTAACTTCCGCAGCTATTAATTACTAACTATAAAATACATCCATCCGTTTACTATAAAGACTGCATTATCACCTGTGTCCCCTGTTAATTGAGCAGGCCAAGGTCGAGTGGGACTGTGGGAGACACCGCACACCACACATTGTCTTTCTCGTTATGCCTCTCCATCATGTCGAGACACACTGAGTGTGGGCTATCCATCTTCATAGAGAGGGAGGACACAGACCTCCAACTCTCAAAACACAGAGGTAGCAAGCATCACTCAGAAGCAGGCCAATTCACTATCAGGTGGTTGGCAGCACACTTCCTGATGCTGCTCTTTTAGATGAGGTGAGTGATGACGGTGTCAGAGAACACCTGGACAGAGACAGAGTGAATCTCCTTAACACGTGGGAGGCCCCAGCATGTGCCAGTGTTGTCCTAGTTTTGTAAGTGAAGTGTTTTTCCCTGTAAAGACAATAAGTCATTAGTTAAGTCCTGCTTATATTAGATTTAGACTTGAGTAAAAGAGTGACTTTCTTTCAATTAATTGTTCTTCAGAAGGCTTAACCTTAGAGAATGTTTAGGGAGATGAAAAACCTTTGTGGGATTAGCCCCATCTAGTGGATGATCAACGGCATCACAGCAGCCAGTATGCTGTGTAAAGAAATGTCTGGTATAGGTATGAATATGAAATAAATCACACTTTAGTAGCTTATGGTTATCAGCTATTTTTATTGATGAAGGGTTGTTTTAATGGCCGCATTTTGTTTTTTTGTTTGTTTTGCTTTGATAAAATCTTATGAATCAAAACCACATGCCATTGTGGTTGCTGTAAAAATGAGACCACAGTGACAACATTGCACAATAACTGCACAGCTGAACTAATGCAATGAAGGTCCAAATACTTACTATGGGATATTAAGGTCAAATATTTGTATTGTCTGGTTCTATTTTAATCTCAGGACCGTCAAGATCCTTAAAGGCAATGTCATTTATTTACAGTTTATGGCAGATTTTATTACAAGTGTGCTCTACATTAAAAGCCATATAGTTGTATGGAACAATGTAGCATATATTCAGTACAATACACAAAATATATCTATTTCATTCCAAAGATACCATATATTGAGTTTGGTTCTTGAAATAATAAATTAAAGACAAATAATTTCATTATAATGTACGTGTGCTTGCCTGCCTGTCTACTTCACCGTGTTCGTGTGCCACGTACTGGAGGGCGCTATAGCACCGTTTGTACAGGTGATGGCAAAGTGGCTCTGTGTTTACCTAAACAACGGCGCAAACCGTAGTGATGATCATGCGGTAAATAGTGATTTTGCTGATTTACGCATCCAAGATTTCTAATGACTAAACCAAACTATCACTGTTTTGCTCTTTAATAAAAAACGCACATATAAGCAATGGCATTTGACATCATTATGCAGTGACACAGAAGAACTAAATTAGGTATAGATAGATAGATAGCTAGGTAGGTAGGTAGTTAGTTTGGTTTAAATGGCCCAGCTGAGCTGTGGCACACCACGTCGCTGGCAGAGGACACGCCCAACACCAACCCGGAAGTGAAGTCCTTTTACCTCATCAGTGTTATAATGACAGCGGCTTGTTCTGTCAAAGAAACTACATTTCCATGACGGCAGCGGGAGGGCTGTTACGTAAGAGGGTGGGGTTTTCTCACAGTTTGAAGCAACAAGTTGCCCAGGCAGGCGGTTGCTTCTTTATGTTTACAGTGGCAGGTGGACACCACGAAGCCAGAGCGAACCGCGGCTTGTGAATGGGAATACGTTAAGATTTAACCGCAGGACCTACAGAGCAACGGGTTGAGATGGACGGAGTAGAATAATTTCTTTCATTTAGCACAGTTCTCGTTTTCTTTTCTCAAGAACGTGAAAAGCGAAGCGTAAGTGTTTCTGAGTGGCCGCGCGCCGCAGCGTGCGTAGAGGAGCGAGCCCTTTGAGAGTTTCATTAAAAGTTGAATCTTGTGGGTAAATAATGGCACTCGCTAGATTCAGCAAAATACTTCGTCTGCCCACTCTTGACATGAAAAAGAAAGTCAAGCAGTACGAGCACGTCAACCGGGACGTCAACCCTAACGACATATGGGAAATTCTTGGCGAACTGGGCGACGGCGCATTTGGGAAGGTCTACAAGGTGAGTGGGAATAAGTCACAACGCACTGGCATATTGATCTCACAGTGACAGAGGCTGGCTTATAGTGCTTAACCCTATTAAACTTTATTGATAAGTTGCTTGTCAGTTCAGTAACACGGTTATGTTTGAAGGGTTTTTGAAACCTTAAAACTGTCTAATGCTGCTCTGTCATCTCATGTTCTCCTATTGAGACGCACTCTGTGCTGCTCTCAGATGAAATATGGTAAATTACAGGCCTAGTTCATACATAAGTTTTGTTTTTTATGTATCCCAGTGTTAGAAAATAGCCTATATCCTAGGAGGTACGGTTGATCCGACATCCTGCGTGCTCCACTGCAGCAGCAGCAGCAGCACTTTTGGCACAGATGAGTGATTCAGTCTGGATGTGTTTGCTGTTCATTCCCCTCCGGGAAGCGTTGCGCTGCACAGTGAATGTCTTTGAGACACTGGGGGCCTCAGTGGAATAAATGATGCTTTAATAGCAGAGGTCTGCCCCAAACAGAAAATGTAGTTTTCTTAGGGGACTCCACCTTGTTGAGGTATTTTGTTTTTACTGAACACCATACAGTGCATACATTGGGGGAATGAAATGGGAGCTCAGATGTAGGGAGATGACTTTTTGCAGTCCTGTCGACGTGCAGTTGCATGCAGAAAATTGGGCTGGGATGCATTTGCAGTTTGAGTATTTGCAGTTATCCCAGATCTTTTTTTTAATCTCTGAATTATTGTATAAAACAGTTCTTTCAGTTAGCTTCTAGGACAGTTTTAAAACTGATGAACACAAGGTGCTTTAAGTTTGAAGAAGCGCTGATATTTAGTCACAGGAACTCTTGAATCTTCTAGTGCTCGTGCAGATATTCAGCTCCAGTATTGGTCAAACTAAAGCCAAACTGACAGGCACAGATGTTGAACATCATTCCGCTTGTATAACTAGCAAACCGTCTTGAATGTAACATCCCCTTGTTATGTTTGGTCTTAATGTCAAGCCTCTGCTTTGGCTTCTGCGTCTTCTCCTTGAGTGTGTTGGAGGAGGACAGCTCAACACCTGCAGAGGAGGGAAATGCCTCAAGTGGTGAATTGCATATGTTTTCTGTTGTTAAAGTCTTTGATATAGCAGGCTCAGTATCTCTGTCACAAGTTAGTTGCTTATTAGCCTGTTAGGGGCAGGACGCGAGTAAAAAGGGGGCTCTGGATGTGTGACGGGCAGCACTATTGATCTTTATCAAAAATAGTTTAAATTCTTGCCATTTGCATGTGACAAGGACTCCTGCACCAGTAGCTTTTCTTGTTTAATTATCTTTGAGGTGAAGCGCAGACGTCTGTAATCCTGTGTTGCTCCTCTCACACTGACTCTGTCACCCCTGGGAGAATAAACACTCTCTTTGTTGCTTAAAGGAAGTGTTAAGGACAAATCAAGCTGTGTGTGTTTATATCACAGGAACACTGACAGAAGGATGTCATAAAATGCAGTTTAATCCTGCAGTTAAATGCTGTCTGCTGTGTTGTCAGAGTCCTTAGCCTGTGGCAGCAACTGTACCTTCCTGTTGTTGATAGTCAGCTGCAGATAAGGGGTCCAAGTTCAGTCCGACTGTTCTCTAAACGATTTACAAGACAGGAGAGAACAATGTGTCACAGATTTAAGTTTATTTGTTCTAATCTTTTGGCAGGTTCTTTTAAAAAATATTGCATATTATTATATTTTTAGGTGTCTAAAATGTGTTCTTATGAATGTGAAATACTCTTTGGTTAAACTACTAAGCCTTTTCTTAAATTAAAGGGTCAAAAAGAGTTGCTGGTCTGCTGCATGATATGTTTTAACTTCTCAAAGATTTTAGTAGTTTGTTGAACATACACTTACTGGCCACTTTATTAGGTACATTTGTACAAATCGTATGCAGTTCCAGTACGACACCACCTTTAACTATGACCTCAGTAACAAAACGTATAATTTAATTTATACAGTTATGACAGTTCACTAAAAACTGAAACATTTTGAGCTTCATAAACACAGATGTTAAGGTGGAAATGTTGCATTGAATTGCATACAGTTGTATAGGTGTACCTAATAAAGTGGCTGACGAGTGTATTTTAGCATTTAATGAGGCACAAACAGGTTTTGTTTTGAATATGCCCCCTCAATGTAGGGTCCTCAGCCTCACAACAACCACTTCCACAGAATGTCTCATTGTTGTTTAGCTTGTTTTGGCGGTCTATGCATACTTGCACTTGTTGGAAAGCATTGTGCTGTGTTGTGTGTGTAGATGTGTGGCTGCACCTGAAGCATGAAAGGGAGGTTTTGTATGGTTCCCCTCACTAATTAATGAGCCACGTGCCACTGAGCACATTGCCCTGCTGCTAGTGAAGTGTTTCCATAGACACACGCAGGCTGTAAGGTTACGCTCCATCAAATTCCCATTGTGGGATGAAAACCACAGTGCATCTTATCCCTGTTGGTCTGTTATGTAAAAGAAAGTGTCCTAAACCCACACTTCAGCTGTGGTAGAGAACCTGCTTGTGTGGTTGGCCGCAATGCTAAGTGCAGTGTACAAAATATAATTTACGTTTATTCGGGATGACAGTGCAGCTAATGTTTGTATCTCATTTTTTAATTGTGAACAGAAATGAATTGGCTACTGAAAACACACCTTTGATATAGGGTTGTAAAAGTAAAGAATGGTAGATTAGAAAGCCAAGACACTATTGAGTGGGATGTTTAGGGTACAGTCTGTTTTTGGGTCTGATTGTCCTTCAGCTGTTGCCAGAACAGATCTGTCTGTCCTCTGGGTCCAGTTTATAAAGGGTGTAACACATTGCACATAGTGTAATTGTATATGGTCTTCTACTTAGTAGAGTAATCAGGAGTTATTGCACAGGTTTGGAAAGTCAAGTGAAAGCAAAACACACTGAGGTTCATCAGTGAGGAGGAGTCAACACAAAAACCTCTTTGTAAGAAGGATGTTGTGAAAGTTGCGAGGTTTATGTCTTAATTTTGAATACTGGAGTGCCACAGAGCTGTATGTTGAAGTGCCTTTAGTGAGACATCATCGTCTGGGGTTTTCTGGGCCTAATCTCAGGGGGCAGCTTGGTGCACGGTGACTGATAAGAGCCCTGCTGGGTGGGCGTGGGCTCAGCACGCTGGGAGTCCCCTTCATCCTTGTGATGACATTTATTTCTGACATGCTCATGAAGCTTGTTCTCTGGTCCTATATTCATATACTGCTGCTACAGTAGTTAAGGATCAGTGACAAGCAAGATGTTGAGGACTGTCCTGAGAATTTACAATCCTGATTTCTGTTCTAGTCGAGTCTAATCTCAGCAACTTTTGGTCTTGTTTCACTTTTCATGCTTAGAATTTTTTTCTTTTTTGTAGCACAACAGTAAATATAAATATATAAACCCTTAAATCTGCAGTTACTTATATGGTGTGGGCTGCAGTCAGGAAGTTAGAAATGTGCAAGGCCTTGCATGAGTTTGATCGAAGGTAGAAGTGTAAATGTGGGTTATTCCTTTCAAGGCTGTCTGTGCTACATTGTGATTTCCTGCCTTGCTGACCTGCTTTGGTCTTTTGACTTGTGTTCACTTCAAGGTTTTGTGTGGGATATTTTGCAATGTTGCTAAAAACTTTCACATCCTGAAAAGACTCATTTCTTCATTATGTAGAGTTTGAATGTCATTCTGTTTTGTGCTCGGCGTCTATTCATGTTCTGTAAATGAGTACATTTACGCTTTCATGTTGTCAGTGTTTTGTATACGAGCAGAGGAATCTTGAGCTGATGGTCAAAACTATGCCTCATTCTCTTTTTCTAAAAACTTTGGTTTCATTTTCTGAATGAGCTACAATTATATCTATTACTTTCTTTTTTGTTTGTTTAAGACTGGGGCTAGCTTTACATTGAGGAGGTAGAAAGGAAAGCTCCAACCTTGAAACGGCTTTTTGTTCCTCTAGCACTGACAAATGTAGTCTTAGCTTCCCAAACACTGATCAGGTTGTTAAGAGCGACTAGCAGCACACTCTAAATATATGTCAACCTCAGTGGTATTCTGCCCTAAAGTCATGCTTTTGCCATCTTGTATGTGGCATACACATGTTCATATACATGTTCCTGTTGAGGTCTGCAATCAGACTAGATGGAAATGTCAAAGCTTTTTTTATTCTAATGTTAGTCACCTGACTCTTAAAGGAAGAGATGTCAGATTCCACCAGGAGACTTTGATGACACAAACATGTAATTAACACATTTTTTTTGGTATTGTCCAACTCTGGCTATAAAACAAATCAGTAGGCGTCATGTGTAGCTGTCTAACATGCTTTTCCTGTGCACTTTGTTAATCTGAATGAGAGCTCATCACTTCCGCAGGCTTCTCCTGTCAAAGGTCAGGTTTTATGAGCTGCTGTCAGAACATTTTGTTTCACAGATGCATGAGGAGAGTCTCAAGGGTGGAGTCGGTTTACAGATTTATGAGGGGGCAAAGGCCTAACATACCCACCTTCCCCTGAAGTCAGGTGTGTTTGTGTGTGCATTTGTAGAGATTGTAACCCAGTGTGTGACCTGAAAATGCACAGCAGCATGTGGTATGTTCATTCAGCCTGGAGGTGAGTGACACAGGAAAAGTTCTGTTATCAGTCACATGAGGTCATCTGGTCGGTCGATGCTACGATTAGCTGATCCTTGTTCTTGGCAGCTTACACTACAAATAGACTCCTTAATTGTGTTACTGTGTGAACATAATTATGTTAACTGTATTTTAGGTTATTTTTAGGCTTCATGTCATTCACTGTTGGCTACTTTCCCATTTTGAGTATGATTCAGCAGTCAGCTTTTAAGCCATCACGGCAATCATCAATACCTTATTATGAGAATAATAAACTTTATTTATGGAGCAAAGAGAATTTACAAAGTTCTTTACATAGAATAAAAACAAGGCAAATGATAGTGATGACATGTCAAACAATAACAGACGCCAATAGAACAAAATAAAAATACAGTTTAAAGGAAATAAAAACAGAAAAAGTATGATAAAAGATCACAGGAAGGCCAGTCTGTAAAAAGATGAGACTCATACAACGTGTTTGATAGTCTGGGAGCTCTTTAGGAACACAGCCGCCATCCCAGCTACTTGATGATACAAACACGATGGTGGGAGTGTGTGCTTATATGTGTGTTTACCTAGTCTACCAGTACATACAGTGTGTCCATGTGCTGACACATTGGTGAGTAACAATGTTGTTTAAAGCTTTTGTCGAGCAGCAGCTGGTATACTTCTCAGCCTTCAGACAGCCACTTACTGAAAGAGGTATACAGTAAGGCAGGGACGACAGACAAATTATGTGAAGGGGACGAGTTGTTTAGTGTGGCAGATGATATGAGACAGTGTTGAAGAGGCGAGCGTTACAGTAAGGGTACAGAGTTAGACGGGTTAAAAGGTATGCAGATAAACAGGCTGATATATGAGAGAAATGCATCATGGAAAAAGAAAGGAACAAACTGGAAGCAGACATACAGGTTATAGGTGAACTGAACAGTGCAAGTGATCATTACTTTGATAGGGACACAGAGTTTGCCCTCAGTGGAACTTGGAGGAGCACTGAACTATAAATCATTTGCTTTTCAATGTGTGTCTTTAGCAATTCTCCCTTTCACACTGTAACATGAAAAAACATTTTAGTCTTCTGAGTGGAATATACAGTATGACATGATATTGTGATGTCTGAAGCATGAAGTATAATGTTAGTTTAACACTCTGGTCTTAGGTACGTTATTCAAACCTTGGAAGGTTGTGAGTCTGTTTGGTTTTCTGCCAGGTTGGGGTCTCTGGGTAATCCCTTTGCACTTAACCTGCGGTACATGGGAGCCAAGCCGCTAATGGACAGAAAAACATCCAGGCAGCAATCTAGTGAGACAAGCTGCAAGACCAAGCAGAAACAAGTTCCTCTGCTCTCCATGGAAACCAGACCCTAACAAAGCGGAAGACTGTTCCCCTCTGGAGGAGAGTTAGTGGCAGTTTGGTGGGTCAGAGACCGTGGAGTTTTGTTTTTTCTAGCGATGGCTACAGTATGTAGCTAACTGTATTCCTACTCCCTCAGTCTTTTTTTTGTGACATGTAAATATGTGGAAAATGACGGAGGTGCCCCTGAGCCAGCTGGTAACGTGTGACCTCTGCTTATCTACTCTACAAACCAGACGTTAAAGCTGTAGAAATTATGGCACCATATTGTGCTGAAGGCACAAAAACACAGGGTTTGTTCAAACTATTATTATTGTATGAGATATTATGTTTAAGTGTATAAAAATCAATCTTAGTAACTGCTTTAAAGATGCAAAACACAAAGGCAGAAAGTGTTGAAGAGAAATGGATGTCAGCGGTCACTCATCTGACACAGCAGATTGTAAGTAAAGCCGTCAGTCAGAAAGGAATCTGTGTGACGGGAGGAGCTAATGTTTGGTTTCACAGATGTCAGGATTATAAAGGGCGTGAAGGATGATGTCTGTTGCTGTAATTATTTCCTTGATTCTTTCGTGTGTGTACATACCGAAACACAGAAATGTGCTTGTGCATTGCTGTCACACTAACCTAGGAAGTCAGGTGGTGCCATGTGAGGTGCAATGAGGTGCTTCACTGTCTGTACAGTGTGTACAGTTACGTATGGTGCACCTATAAACAGACATGTTTTCATGTTATACTAGAAGACTGAGTGATGAACATTAATTCGTTCCTTGTACCACAAATGCATGAATGTCAGTCTACCACTTTGTCCACTTCTCCCAGCCATTTGAAGGCCAGGGGCACATTCCTCAGCCTTGTTCCCACTGAGATGTAAAGGTGTGAGAGAGAGAGACACTGCCCTTATGAAGCTGGGTCAAGAGTTTTGATCCTGAAAAATTAAGACCACAGTACAAAACAGCATGACGAATATCAAACTTCCTATATGTCTTCATTATCTGACACATCTTTTGATGAATCTTATGGTTGGGTGAATGCAGCATTAGCTTTAATTGTCATTAGGGCTAAAAATGGCCACCTTTTTAATATACTCAAAAGTCATTTGTACTTATTTCATATCGTTTAGTCTGTAAAACGATTAAAAAAAAAAGCATCACAATATGTGGTGTTTTGTCACACCAGGTCTGCAAATGTTCAGTTTACAATGATTAAAAAAATCCTTAAGCAGTTCGATTGTCAAAATGTAGACAGTGCACTGACAGAAACTAGAAGCCATTTATCAGCGTGCGGAGGCTGAACATGTGCATGCAGGACGGCAGCTGAGATGTCAGCAGAGTGGTGAAAGTGTCTGGTGGCTCAGTGTTTGCTTGCTAGCTGACTGATGGTTTGATGGCAGGAGGAGACGTCCTGTTGACTCACAGTGTGGGTTACTGTGGTGAGGGCAGTTCGACTTCTTTGCAGCGCTGTTTGACAAACTCGCTGAGACACACACACACAGTCGTGGTGTCTCCTATAATAAGTAAAAGAGTGTACGTTGAGCTTATTCTGTTTGTTTAGATGTTTTACAAACAGCGTGGAGGCATCAGAACCCCACAGGGCGGCCTAGTCTGTTGAGTTTGTGCAGGTCCAGGGTTGCCTAGTCTGTTGAGTTTGTGCAGGTCCCTGGGTGCACACACAGTCATATGCAATGAAGTATCTCCTCAGACCCACTCCTCATTTATTCAGTCATTTTCACACTGGCACACCCTGCTGCATTATCAGGTGGTACTTCTTTCTAGCAACAGTGTAATTGTCATTTTTGGAAAAAAAAAAATATTTGGAATTTTCTTCAGTTGGTTCATCCAGGAGCACCGGAGGTTTATAACATGGCCTCTGCATGAATTACAAGCATTTAACTCTGTTTTCACTTATCTCCGGTTGTACTCTTATGACACTGAATGTGTGATTCTGACTGCCGGTGCACATTTAACGTATTTACTCACAAAAATGCATCTGTCAGCATTTACAACACCATCTCTTGCACAAGGATGAGCCTCGTGTTCGGCGGCTTATGCCTTGCTCTGAGTCACCGTATGGTTTGGGTGTTTTGATGCTTTACAGAAAGGAACAGAAAAGTCTACCCATGTTTACGTTTGCATCCCTTTATTACTGTTAATTACTAAGAAATGTGTGGGTCTTAGTTTAGCCACACTGACACTTGATGGTTTGTGGTTCCTCCATTTTTTTTTCTTCCCCAGTTGTAAAGGGAGGATGTGTCACTTCCTTTCCTGTTTGGCCTCCAAATGTTTGCTAGTTAACATTTCTAATTGTTGTCCTGTTTTTACCACTGAGTTAGAGCACAGTGTGAAAGTAGCAAGAGAAATGCATCTTTAAATAAACTGGGGATTTACCGAACGTGTTTACGTTGTCTGTATATTTTGTTGATAAATTTACTTTTTCACAGATTGATATTGCGAGTTAGATTTAGTTGTTTTCTCAGAAATACATTGCTCCTGGTTTTTGAAAGCATTTAGCTTCTTTATTTTTGTGAGTTTTTGAAGCACACCTTCCTTTAGTCTATGCCCGATAGCTCAAGCTTCTCTGATGTTGTTCTGTTCCTTTTTCAGGCCAGGAACAAGGAGACAGGAGTTCTGGCTGCAGCCAAAGTGATTGAGACAAAATGTGAGGACGAGCTGGAGGACTACATGGTAGAGATCGACATCCTGGCTAAATGTGACCACCGCTACATTGTCAAGCTGCTTGATGCATTCTATCATGACAACAAACTGTGGGTAGGTGACATCAATGTCTGGTTAAGCCAGACAACTTCGGTGTAAACCACAGACTTGTCTTTTTCAGGTTTCCTTTTCTGAGCATTTTTATCACTTTGTTTGTGCACTTAAGCCAAACAAACAAATAAAAATGAACATGCAGTGTGTTGCTGCATGGGAGCACTGTGATCAGGACTATACGATGCACCGAAGGACCCATGTTGATACTGTTGCCTTCTGCATTTGTTCTCACTGTGTTGAGGAGGGTTTATGACCATACATGTTTTTTTGCACCTTTTCCAAACAGAGCCGCAGCAATCAGCAGGCAGGTGGAAAAACTAAACTTGTTCATTGGAATTCAATCTGTGACTGCTCTGGTAATTTATTGGAACATTATTTCATCTAGAGTCTGTTTCTCCTACATATAAAATGAAATGTTGTAAAATGAAGATAAGAAAAGTGGATTGTCTAAATGGGAAAGAGAAGTGAGCGACATAATGCATCAGAAATGACCCAGTCCTCAGCCTGATGTTATAGATAGAATGAAGATCAATTTCAGTTCAGGCTGTTCTGCTCTCCACTTGCTCACTGGGTCGAGTGTTAACTTTTCAACACCCTCTGTAATCTCCCAGTCTATCTGGCCAAGAAAAACCAAAACCAATAGTGACCCCATGTTGGGCCACAATCTGGAATATTTGAGGAATTACAAGGCGGCATTCAGACTAAATATAGTTGTTTTTATCACTCTGCATGTGATGATAAAACATGTAGAGTTTAGATTTAAGGGCTACTTTCAGGTTTAAGTAGATTATCTGAATCCAGCGTGTGAATGGTGGACTCCACCATCCCAAATAAAAACTATTAAAGAGGGGAATAATTATTAGATGTAAATACATTAAATGGCTAATGCAGAAAATAATACCGCTACAGTCGACAAACATGAACTAACTCGGGGAACAGTTAAAATTTCAGACACTAAAACAAATGTCGGACACCTCAGAACCTGATAAGCTAATTCCTGAGCAAGGAAGGTGAACGTCCCCTGTCAGTTGAAGCTGGACTTCATTTTGATAAGCCAAACATCCACGCCTGCACCATTGGAGAGTGTTCTCAGTGTGTGTGTGTGTGTGTGTGTGTGTGTGTGTGTGTGTGTACGTATCTGAGCCTCAGCTTTTGCTTTACTGTTTCACTTCCATGTATCTTCAGACACTGCTAACATTTTTTCTCAATATCAATTTATTGTTTAGACTGCATTTTAAGAATAACTTGGATTAAATCTATAGCGTGAACGGACATTTGAGCATCCGACTGTCAGTAGCATAATTATATACAACATGTCGTACTGACCCTCATTGCGCCTCACTGTAATGGGTGTGTGTTCTCACCTTGGGATTTCACCAGTTAGCCCAGTCGCTGGCCGTCAGGGCTCAGTAACCTCCAGCTGGGTGGACTGGGCAGTGGTGAGATGATGCATTCCAGTGCTAGCCCACCCCTTCTGCTTTTGGCTGAGTAATAGAAGAATAGAGGGAGAAAGAGAGAGAGAGAGAGTGAGAGAAGGGCTGTTTGTTCCCTTCCAGGAACAAACCCGTCCTGAGGGTAGTGAGGCAGACAGGCCTACAGTGTGAGAAAAAGAAGGCCTTTAACATGGGGACATGGCGACTGACATCAGCACACTGAGAGCAACGGAGAGAGAGAAGAGGATGGTTAAACAAAGCCCAAATGACAGTCTGTCTAGAAAGTTTTTGGTTCTTTGGGAATTTGCATCCATTTCCAGATCTCTACAGTTCTCACTGTTTCTTTGATTGACAGCACTTACAGTGAAAATTGTTGGCAGTACTTCTTCACCATTATGAGATGGGGCCAATTCCGAGTTTCCAGTCACATGACTGGTACAGAGCCCTGGAGGGCAAATAAAACCCCTCCCAACATGGCGGCTAACACGAAACAAAGAAAAAATCCAAGTCGACCCTTACAGCCGCTCTTTTTATCAATGGCTATGTTCTAAATCTAATGCACCGACACTGACAGCGAGCAGCGGTGGTTGAGCGAGCTAGCATGTGAATGAAGAGAGGGAGCGGTGCTGGCAAAACAAAGCAGTGAAACAGAGAAATAAAACTTTTTCTTATTGTCTCATAGTGGTTATGTTCTAACGCACAAATAAACACAACCACACCTCTGCACAACCCTGTGTGAATATAGTCAAAGCACAGGCCTCATGCTCCTGTCTGCCCTGCCATGTCCTCTGGACCACACCTTGTGTGTGTAGCTAAGCCCTGCACTCAGCACACAACTCATTATGACAGCCAAACTATCATGGGAATATTGGTTTCAGGTGTAATGGCATTATGGGGAAACTGAGCTGTCCTGGTGGAAGTCTGTGCTCTCTGAATGCTGCTCTGTTTTAATTAAATTTTGAAATTCAGTTCACCTTTGTTGTATTGGGTTGGACGTAGCTCTCACAAAAGCCTTTCTATGAAAAAAAAGTCTAAAATATCTTGGTGAACCAGTCCTAGCTTGTAGAGCATTAGTTTCAACATCAGTTAAACATGTCTCCTCTACCTTCAACACCCCCCGCACAGAGGTGACAAGGACAATAATCTTTATTCTACATTTGCCACTGCTTGCATACAGCAAGGTCTGTAAAGTGTCTGTGAGTGGTTACCAGGAGATTTTTGATGGCAGTGGAAATCTTCAGTTGAAGTCAGTGTGTTGTCTTTGTTGGCACCACCTTGTGTACACTTTAGAGGAATCCCAGATCACTGAGGCGTTAGTCATGGTCAGGGAACAGTTAAGTATTGTGAGTGTGATTCATGTTTTATATGGTTGTATTTCAGGATTGATTACAGTTTCGAAGCACAGGAGGTCTTTGTTAGCAAATGGCCCTTTATATTCTTTAGACCTCTGACGAAATGAGGTAAATGACTGTGAAAGTACAGGGCTGTGAAAGGGAGAAACACTGCAGTGTCAGCGAGGGTTGCAGACTATTGATTTGGCGTGGCTCAAAGGAAAGTAAAGAGCCGCTCAAACAGCGATAATATAGACTTAAGACATTAAATGAGGCCAGTTTAACTTGGTTTATAACTCTCTAAAACCATTAGAGTTAAAAAAATGAATACATACAACTATGAGTGGCTAGATAGTCCTATTGACATGCTGACTTATTTAAACAATTGACATAAGGCACATTAGTTGTTTGGGTTTTTGTGTGTGTGATAGCAATGCTCATCCCACGGTGAGTATGTTTTGTATGTGGTTTGACCAGATGGGACACATTCTTTGCTGCAGCACAACACGTTTTTCAGAATTCAAACCAAACCAGTTGCCTGGTTTGAAACAACCATAGCGTTTTGTATACACGTAGCTTTTTGGTTTGGGCAGCACAGTGTGTTTTTACACAGTGGCAGTTCATTTCAGAAGGTGGTAAATAGAAAAGCAAAAAAACAGGCCATGTTTGTGGTGAACAGTAATAGGGAAGTGGTTTGTACTGAAACTTGCAGTAACCTCCCTCTTTAGTTTATTAAGTGCAGAAATGGGGTTTATTTTAACATAGATTCTGTGCAATGCTAACATCAATATTTCAACTTAGGAAACATCATAAATCAACCTAATAAAAAAAATATTAAAAACTACAAAGCAAATTGACCAGGAAATGCAAATTTTAAAGATCTTGAAAGCCTAGTATTTTCTTAATTACCATTGTACTGTAAGTGATTTGGGCCTTTATTAACAACTATAGCACAACTAATAATGGAGTTTGTCTTAAGAAACAGATCAGAGTTTTTGATAGCAGTATGGAGACAAAAAGGCTGGAATCAGCGACGTGTGACACAGGCCAGTCTTTCTGCTATCTGTCATTTAAGAAGAAAGGTTAGATGTGAAACCGTCCTTTAAAGAGACCATGACAAAGTCAATCATCCTTAATAACACGAAATCCAAACTTAAGGGGTTTGTCAGTCTAAACTTCACAAAAGAACATTGTGTTACCTTGAGCCGCATGGCAAGATTGGCATTACTCATCTTCTGGTTTTCCACCAAATGTATGTCATCATGTGAATGAAGGCATGCAGAGTTTCCTGCATTGTTCTGTTCCTGGTATGTGTGTGTGTTTATGTGTATACATTTGTACTTGCATGGCTTTGTCTGGGCTGAAACTCCACACCCTGTCCAGTACCAAAATGATGCTTTGACAGAGTTGTCATAGCAAGCAGGACTCTAAGAATGAGATCAGACAGCAGGTATGCATCACCCCACCTACACTAGGGTTGATCTTTGACCATTTGGAATCAAAATAGTATCAGAAGTTGCCTTTATATATAAAAAATGAGCTGTATGCAATGCACATGTACATGGCTTTGTAAAGCCACACCACCTTTTCTGCACTGGATTATTTTCTTTGTCCCACTTGAATGAAAATGTAAAAATGTCCCCCCCCCATGGTTTGTTTGTGTTTGTGTGTGTGTGTAAGAGAGAGAGAAAGAGAGAGAGACTATGTAAGGAGAGGAAATGAAAGGTGATTGTTGGAAGTTGCAGTTGGCCAACAAGACACCATTTAGGGTGTCCCTCTCCCTCTCTCTGTGTTTTTACTTTGTTGCTGAACTGGTATATGTGCTTGGCAGTGAGCCCCAGGAAGTGAGTACAGTTACAGCCTGACATTTTGTCAAACACCACTCTGAATCCAGCTGTTCACTTCTACAGAGTGTGTGTATTCTAGTCCTGTCACCATAGATGTTAAAGTGTGTAGAGCAGGGGGAGCTCTCCAAGTAGTGGTGACAGATGCATTCACACAGAGATGCTTCACAACATCACAAACCAGCTGATGAAGAAATCGATTTTTTTTTTCTTTTTTTGTGTGTGCTTTTAGAAAATGCATCATGTAAATTCTCACTGAAATTCTCATGCCCACTTGTTGCTAAACAGGTGCTTGAGAGACTATATTAACACAGTATTTATACAGTATATTAATACGACTGCTGTTAGGAACACCCTTACATTTTCTTCTAAATGGAACAAGAACAGAATAACACTCGTGGGGTTTCTCAAAGCTTGATTTTTGAACGCAGAGCTCAAATTGACATGACTGTACATTCTGATTAACCTTCAAGAAGAATCCCTGACTTATAGCAGAGGAAATGTCTTAGTTGCCCAAAGCAATTACAGGTCAAACACACTCTGTGCTGGGTTTATCAGTAACTTTATGCTGTGAGGACATGTTCTCTTTCAGGAAAGGGGAACTCCTCCTCATAAAACACCATCTGATCCTCTGTCCTCTCCACACTTTGGTGTGCTGCACTAAAAATAACAGTGTTTGTTTTGCACTTCCTTTGGCTGATGATAAATTGTAGTAAATGAGAATATTAGACTATGAGTTTGTTTTTATCCTTTTCTCTTCCTTTTTCATTGATTTGAACCTCACCCCTCTCTCCTTGCTCTTTCCCCAGATCATGATTGAGTTCTGCCCTGGTGGAGCTGTGGATGCAGCAATGCTGGGTAGGCTCGCTTGCTTTGTGCTCCCTCTGTATCTTTCCAAGCACTCTCTACCCTGTCACAAGAGTCCACACTTGTGGCAGAGGTTTATTTTCTATAGGAAAACATTTAGAAAACAAGCACTTCTCATTTCCAACCATAATGGTGTACTTCACCAGCTTGGACAGTATTCAGACACAGTGGAGTCCCCCTGTGTGGGAAGTCCCCTGGTCTGTTTTCACTGGGTAATCCACAACTCTCAAAACTGCCTGCACCCCTGATGCAGCTAACAAAACACAAACAAAGTAGAATTCTGCAGGGTAGTACTTGCCTGGATATATGAGAAAGCTTTTCTGATCTGGGATTAGCCAGCAACAGTATCTGAGAGACTTGATATCATCACAGGTTCTAGCTAGATGTGTTTTCTTTTGTGCAGTTCACACCCTAGTTCAGTCCTCAGGACTTTTTCTCACATCTATTCTGCTCTAATTCTCACCCCCTTCTCTACCCCATATTTAACCTCTCCATCTCCTATCAGAGTTGGATCGGGGGCTGACGGAGCCACAGATTAAGGTGGTTTGCCGCCAGATGTTGGAGGCTTTGAACTACCTTCACAGCATGAAGATTATCCACAGAGACTTGAAGGCCGGTAACATCCTCCTCATGCTGGACGGGGAAATTAAGCTGGGTGAGGGTCATTCATTCATTTATTCATTTATTTATTTATTTATTTATTGCTTTAAAGTGTTGCTTGTTTTAGATGCCTCTGACCTTCAGATTACCAGTCAAAGGTTTGGGCACTCTTTCTCAATGAATTGGATGGGAAAGTGTGTGCAAACCTTTGACCTGATAAAACTAAAGATTTAAAACAGTGTGTGCACAGTCTGAAACATCCAATGCTGTAGGTTTAGAAGATAATGTAATATCAATATATCCCTTATTGTATTTGTTCTGACAGCATAGTCAAATGGAAAATCTCAGCTGTGTCCAGCTGAATCTGCAGTTTGAGAAATGTTGGAATTCCTATTGGTGGTTAAAATAATGTTTTGTGGGTTTAAACAGTGATTGGCTTCAAAGCATGAATTTATCTGAACAGGTTATGGTGGCCAAGTCTACACGGACAGGGTAAATCATATTCTCCTTAATGGCATCTATATTTTCCTCATTCTGTGTTTTCCTTGCATCTTAGTATTGCTCATGTAAGATGCAACGAAAAGATACAAGGAGAGAGGAATCATTTCTGCTCTGAAGAGCAAGCAGGAATAAAAGCTTTGGAACATCTTTGAAGGTAGTGAATTGGAAGGCATTACTGGTTAAGCAAGGAATGAGGAATGCTCAGTTAAGGGAAATGGGGTCACTGGGGTTTCTAACAAAACACCTGGAGTAATCTGTCTCTCTTGCATCCCATAATTCACAGAGAAAACCGTTTCACTGTCAATATGATGCAAATGGAACTAATTCTCAGATAAACCCCTGCATTCCCGCTGCATATTGCAGGTTATCTCTGTTGTTACTAGCCATGCACACACCTTAGAGGCCAAATTCCCCTCCTGTGGTGCTGTAGGAGGATCATAAGTGGGGAAAAATGCATTGTGAGAAGTCTTGCATATTTTCATTTACTAGCTTTTTGAATAGTTCTCCACATTCCGACAAACCAAAAACATTGAGCAGAAATGGACTCTAGGCTGCACACAGTTTCATGTTCAGGTAGGATTATTTGTGGAAGTGACTGTGCTTTTGTTTAATTCAGTTAGACTCCAAATGGTTTATCTGTTTGTGGTTTTAAAATGACATGTTTCCTGAGCTCCTCAGCTTCCTTGGCTTGCATTTTTTGTTTAATTAAGTCACTTTGCACTGCCTTACATTCTGCCCTAAGACACCACAGATAGATATAATCACTGGGAGTTGCCTCTTTAAACTCTTGGAGTCATGGCACTCACTCATTTACAGTCTACATTCTTGTCTACATACTTAACTACATACTAATTCAAACAAGGCGGCAGTTAACTGTCTGATGTTGAACATGCATTCTACCCACCTCTGAATCCAGGCATTATTGTTAAACGTATTGTTCGTCCATGCAGCACAGCTTGTTCATGGCTGTACAACCTTAGATACTCTTATAGGTACAATATGTTCAGAAATGTGACCAGATTTTCATTCAAGCTACATTCATAAATCAAAATTGCAAGGTCATCAGCATCAGATAGTGGTTTTATGCCATCATCATTTAGTTCCTGGTGATGTGGTGTAGTCTACAAAAGTTTAGACTGCAACAGTCCAAATGATACGTTTGACTGGAAAGTTTGAGACATTTGAATTTTAGTCTGCAAAACCAAGACAGTTACCCAAGTGTCTCATTAATAGAAGTTGCCCATTTGTAATTGAAGCAGTGAAATTACCTCTGCCAAACAAACACTTCTCAGCCCAGGGCAGGCCACTGGTAATAGACTTGTTTACAGAGAAACACTTCAGCCAAAATGAAAGCAACACTCCTGAAATCTGAGGGGCATGTCAGGGAACAGGGGCAGGTTGTTGGAGAAACAGGACTGCTATAAATTCATTGGTTCTGGCTTTGCATCTCTGCCAAACATAATTTTGACAACTTTACTCCTGTCCAATAAGAAAATGTCTCCCTTCATTCTTGCAGCGGATTTTGGTGTGTCTGCAAAAAATACCAAAACCCTGCAAAGAAGAGATTCTTTCATTGGAACGCCATACTGGTGAGTAAGACAGATTGTAAATTAGAGTACCACTAAGAGAGAGAGCAGTGATTGAGCTTTAGGGGTGGGTGATATACAGTAGATATGAGATACTGTCATTTGCAAGATTAGATTTAGATGTATGATATATTTCTTTTTTTATCTACAGATTAAGTTGAGGAAGGTGGGAGTATCCGTTTTACTTAACTGATTTGGAACAGTTCCTGCCACTGCACAGCACTAAAACAACCCCAGATCCTTAACCCTGCTATAAACCATCTAGCAGTACGTGTTAACTGTAGCCATATCAACTGTCCCGAAATGGTGGTATACATGTATACAGATTTTTTTTTCACCACCTTGAGAGTTGAGAAGTCACACTGTTATGTATAAATGGTAAATGGTCTTATACTTGTATAGCGCCTTTCTATGCTTTTTACAGCACACTCAAAGCGCTTTCACACATTATTCAGCCATTCACCCATTCGCACTCCCAAGCACTCACGCATTCACACACCGGTGACATCACCGGGAGCAACTGGGGGTTTAGTGTCTTGCTCAAGGACACCTCGACATGTTGACTGGACAAGCCGGGAATTGAACCGCTAATCCTCCGGTTAGGAAACGACCCGCTCTACCTCCTGAGCCACAGCCGGGGGCGGCTGTGGCTTATGTATACACACCCTCACCCCAGTACCTCAGCTCTGTGCTTAGTCCTCCATTGTTGTCACAACAGTGTGGTTCTCTCCTCTGCCCGTTTGAAGCCTCCATAGTGAACCGTGTCCCATAGTGTTGTCATCTATGTTGGAATAATATGGTTGGAACCTGTTAACCATTCACCCAAGCAGGTTATCATCCATCAGGAATATGCCCCCAGCTTAATGAAAACATGACTGGGCCCTCCCAATGCACAGTACTGATTTCATCCTGAAAAAAATACTCTAGGCAGTTTTCTGTATTGCACTGTATTCCTCTGATTGCACTGATTAGCAAAGTCACCAAGGGACAGGGAGCAGACATTAGTTTCTTTGCACCTAAGTACATCTCTAAGATTAGTGCCCTGCATTTTGAAAGTTGTTAGCAAACATGCTGAAGGGTGTGAAGTGTGCTTGATGTTGAATTGATGTGCTTGAATTTAAGGAGCAATGTTATTAATGTGCACTGTGCCTTGATTTGTTAGCATGCAGTTTGCTTTAATTGGGAGTTTCATGTCCCACACCATGTGCTGTAATTAACCTTTTGTTATGTCACTTTCTCAGGATGGCTCCAGAGGTGGTACTGTGTGAGACAATGAAAGATGCTCCGTATGACTACAAGGCTGATATCTGGTCTCTGGGAATCACTCTGATCGAGCTCGCCCAGATTGAACCCCCACACCACGAGCTCAACCCCATGAGGGTGCTGTTGAAGATCGCCAAGTCGGAGCCTCCCACCCTGGAGGAGCCAAACAGATGGTGAGGATAAATTCTGTTGTTGTGCAATAAGTGTGTCAGAAATATGTTGCAGAAAAAAAAAAACTGAATTAAATGGAGGCTTTTGTCATGAATAATACTTTGATGGATCACCAGATTTTTGCAGACTTAGTGTCCTGTAATCTCCTGTAGACACCCAACACATCACATTGTCCTCCCTATCTCTGGCTGCACTCTATTTTGCCCAGCAGAAACTGATCTTTCTACTGTATCAATTTTGTGAGTCTTAATGTTCCATAGCTGCAAATTTAGTACTACAAAAATGAAGTTATCAGGGGCTCAAAGCAGACTTGGGGTGGGGAGCTGACTCATTGTTCCCATTGACAGCTGTCTTAGCACAGCTGTGCATAATGATCCACCAACATAATAGATTGGAAAATGTTTTGTTGTGTTGTAACCCTTCCCTTATCCCTTCCACCCTCTCCTATTTCCTTCTTTGCTGCTGTTTTTGATCGATACTTTTTTTCTTGTTTATTCAAGGTCGCCAGATTTTCACAATTTCCTCAAGAAAACTCTGGATAAAAACTCAGAGACTCGTCCGACTGCAGCACAACTCCTGGAGGTAGGTCCTGATGTAATGTGAAATTATAACCTGTATTAGGTAGTGCTGCACTTTGATATATGATGGAACATTGTCCTCGCTCTGTCCTTATCTTGTGCCAACACACACACACACTCCCACATGCAGCCTTTTAATCTTCTATTTTAAAACCTGAATGGAATTACCTGTCGCATGGAAGTGAGCAGTGCCCTGCGGAGGGCACTGGCATGTGACTAGGAGCCGAATAGAAGGTGAACAAGAGTGAGCAAGAAACAGAGCAGGCGTAGGAGGAGAAGAATGGTGAAAGAACAAAGGTGAAGAAGGATCATTTTAGAAGTCATTGTTCATGCTGATGGACCCTCTGACGATACAAATATTTTTATCTTAGGGTTAATAGGAGTTGTGCTTGGGTCTAATAACTAGCGTCCCCTTTGTTTTCCAACAACAGCAAATTACACTTTGGTACATCTGTCACATGCTCAGTGGCATTGCTTAGGAGGCTACAAAGGGGCTGGTGACAGTCTTTCTGGCAGTAAAAAAACTAGTGTCTTTGACAAATGTGCCTCAGAATCCAGAATCTCAAGCAAAAAGAATGGCAGACAGAAAAAGTCAGCAGGGTGTGGATTAATGCACGAGAGCAGCTATTAAGATTCAGGGCCACAGTTTCCTGTCTGTATCCCGCAGCTGTGGGATCATCAGCTATTTACGTTCCTGCTCTTCACCAATAGAATGTCTGGATTTACCCCGAGTTCGCCACCTCTAGCCAGTTAGAGAGAGGCAGAGATGAAAATCCTAGATCCAGGCTGCTGGGAATTTGGCATGTGTTCTCCAGTTGGGGGAAAGAGATGGGCGCGGTCTGGTTTTTGGTGCTCTGCTGGACATTTTAGATGTTTGTCACGCCTGCTGCTCCCGACGGCTGTCAGAGGCTATTTACTGTAGATAGCTGTGCAGTGATGGCATTAAATTCTGCTGTGTAACAGATAGTGGATGATGTCATTTTACTGGTAGCTGCCATCGGTGTATGGGACATGTTTTAAGTAAGATTTTGTAAAGCAGCTACTCACTGGAGTGCATGGATGTGATAAAACAGATGTGGTACAGGGGGACAGTAATAAATCATAGATAAAAAGTATCTTCAGTCTAAGCGCTAAACTCTTAAAGGTGTGTGCACAACTGTATACAAAGAGGCACTGAAACCAGCTTGAGGAAGTATTTATCCTCAAGCTGTTCATAGGAAACAGGGATTCAGTGTTTTAAACCCTCAGTCTGTCCTTGTGTCTGTCATGCATGTCTGCTTGTAAGGAATGTATACAAAACAACTTGACACAGTATTAGTCACTGTGGCAGGAGACCATCTGGGTGACTTGTAGTCATTCTACTGAATATAGCTGCTCCTCACACAGGGTTTCTCATGATTTGTGGCTTAGCTTCAGTTCATGTATAATATTGTATGGTTTTCTGTTTTGTTTTGTTGCATAGTTTTACTATGGGAGCATTAGTTTAGAGCTAGTTTATCTCTGAGTCATGGATTTTGACTGATTTTGCAACATTGAGATGGGCACACACACACGCACACACGCACACACACGCACACACACACACACACACACACACACACATTTATACTGTACGTTTATACAGAACACTGACATCATGCATTCCTTAGCCCTGAACCATAACACTAGCTATTATCTAGCCTTTTCTTTGGCCTTACTTTCAACCTAATAATAACATTAAAGGGCAGGTCACCTTATTCCAGGATGACACAGAGCTAATGGAGGTTGACGTTCTTAATAATGTGAAACTGTTCATCATGCCACTGTCATCATTGCTACATAGGTAACTGTGCAGCATGGACTCCAGTATGTAGTATTGTTTACATTCTTTTTTTTTTTAACACCCAGTGATGCATACAAGACTCAAAATCAGCAGCCACACCAAGCTCAAAGCTCCACTGATCCACATCCTGAGCCACCATGGCAGTAAAACAACATAGTGTAGTATTGTTGCCCTGTTAAATCTAGTTCGCCTTTGGTTTGTCTCAGGGAGCCTGAGGTTAAAATGAGCCTGGTCTGAGTTCACTTGGTTAGACTTTTATAATAAATAAAGGATACTAAGAGCTGCGATGATCAGTCGATTGGTTTCACAAATTCACTGGCAAATATTTTGATAATCAGTTTTTGTTTTAAAGTCATTTTTCAGTCAGAAATATCAAACATTTGATGGTTTCAGCTTCTTAAATTGGATCTGCTGCTTTTCTGTGTTTTGACATTATTGTAAATTGACTATGCATTTCGCACTCTTAGTTAGACAAAAAAGACACCCGATGACGTCTCTTTGACAAAAAAAGACACCCGATGACGTCTCTTTGCGCTCTAGGAAGCTGGGATGTGCATTTGTCAGGAAGTGGTGGTGGTTGTTGGCATCTAAATAATTTCAGTTGTCTTATCTTAACAGGTGTGGCTTGCCGTTTATATCTTAAATTCCAATTCCACGCTCTTTTTGTGCGCCCATGTTCTAAGTGTGCTGTGTTCTGCAGGACAACCCTTGATTTATTTGAACTGAATGGTTCGAAGCCACTTGGCTATTAAGCTTCCTGACTCATTAGACAATAGCTGACTGTTGTTTGTCACTGGAGAAGTTAAAAGCTGAGGCCTAATGCAGTCCTTGAAGACAAGCTCCACCACACAAACAACTTCGATCACCCACAGCAAATGTGCACACACACGCCCTGATTTATACACACTTCATGGTCCAGCACTACTTGTAGCCTGTTCCCTTGCTCAGCTGTTCCAATTAAATTACACACTAGTGCAAAGCATCTGAATAATTGATGACTGGCCTTTTATCCCCACCGCACTCGGCTTTTATTTAGTTTCTCATTCTCTTTGCACTTTGCCAAAGCCCATGCTTTTCTTTACAATTTGTTGATGGCTTGCAAATTTAAGGGTGTGATGTTAAATTCAGTATCAGTGTGTGCCATCAATAAGGAGACTTGTTTGTTAAAGCTGTTCAGGAACCAGAAAGTGGTGGATCATTTCCCCAGAGGTGAAAGTCTCATCTAGCCTTACCTTTCACACTTGTTGTCCCTTGTTGCCCTGTGGTCAAACGAATATACCTGAATGCAATTACTTTATTTTTCACCAGAGTTTATTTGATGGGTGTTTATGCTGTGGTCACATCAAACCTCGAGTCTCTTTCCCATATGTACAGTTAACAATCAAACGCTGTGCAGTTCAGAGTGATGTTTATAAGCTCATTTATGCTCAAGGTATGGTGCTTAAAATGGAAAAACAACACAAGATGTATGTCACTTTTGTGAGAACCTGGTCTTGCTTTTTGTTTGACAGATGATTAACACCTGTCTCCCTTCTGCGTCTTGTGTCCACAGCACCCTTTTGTGAGATCAGTGACGTCTAACCGTCCCCTGCAGGAGCTGGTGGCTGAGGCCAAGGCTGAGGTCATGGAGGAAATAGAGGACAATAGAGAGGAAGGAGAGGAGGACGATGATACGATGGAGCCCACTGTGGTACCAGGCCTAGATCTTTATTTTTTTCTTTTTCTCTTCCTTAATTTTCCTCTGTCATTATTTCCAAAAAGAGAAAGGGCAGTCCATGTCCTTGGAGCAGCTTTAAGATGTTGGGTTATAAGAGTACACGTGATTCGAATTAACAAGGTTAACTATTGGACAGTATCTTATAAGCTAAATTTTACATACAAGTGACATTTTCTTCGCTGACCTAAGTGAAGATGTGTAATTTTCTAACCGTTTCGTCTTGCTGTCTCTTGCAAAGCTGAAACTGACAAGTTGGAGTTGTTTTACTGTCACCAGATAATATAATATAATACAAAAGTAATCACACTCGCCTGCACATGATCCCATGCCCAGAAAAGCACACACACGTTCTGCCCACTTCCTCCATGTTTAAAGTCCTGCATGCTGACCCCTCTGAACTGCATCTTTTTGGCTTTCTTTTCAAAGTATTATTTGTCCATTCTGTAGAAGCCATTCATAGATCCTCAGAGGCAGGAGAATAGAAAGTGAACATAGTCTGAAGGTGCAGTTTACTGCCAGCACAAACAAAGGAACAGAAACCGGAACACTAGCATTCATGCACACCCGCACGTAGTTAAATATAGGTTCTGGCTTTTTGGCTCACTCCAGTATAGAAACACTGTCACCTCATGACCCTGATGGAATGAATTAGTTAAGGTTGTACATTGTTCTGCTGCTACTGTATACGTATGCTAGAGGCCCCTATGTGGTGAGCATTTCTAAAATATTTTTGCCAACAGGAAGCTGTAACAAGATGAGTGTGTCAAGATGCCCTCTAATTCTTTCCTCTTTGTGATAATGGTTTCTGAATTTATTGAAAAGAACATCTTGGTCAGTGCTAAAATGTTTTCAGACATCCTGCTAATCCAACTTAGTCGGTCTTTGGGTTAAGTTTGAGCTTCTGTAGATGTTTTTGTTTTGTTTTTTTAATGTGTGCAGTTCTGCTGAAAACTTTACTGCAAACTACACTTAAACTCATCACTTCCTCTGTGTCGGGATCTTCCCACATAAAACCACAAGACAATGAAGGTTTTAAACTCAATGTTAAATTTATCATGAATTGGGTTAATTGCTGCTATGCTATCTGAGTGTGGACATTTGGGCTGCAAGATAAACATTTAATTATAGGGAAGAAATAATATGAATATAAATATCAAAATGTTATTATATATACGGTGCAGTACATGAACAGCTTTGTCCAAACAGATTTTTCTTCTGAGTGCTCAGTTGTTTTCTGACTTTTTCTGACAAGGCCATTCTTAGAAACACACAGCAACATTTTGACACAAGTAGCCAGTATCTCTTGCTATGTTGTATACACAACCAGCAGATGTTTGATGTTGAGATATTGTAAGGATGATGTCTGATGGTGGTGTTTACATCTAGCGGGAGTGGTACTTTAGGATGCCAAACTGCTCAGTATACATACAGTAGTCCTGAAATAACTTCTTCAGTGTTGTTTATAAATGCAGGCTAGGGAATTCCTGTGTCTGGAACATCTGCAATTTGGTTCTAAATTAATTTTTTTTTTAAAAACTTTCCGGGAGTTTATATAATTGCTCTAGAAAGGTAAAAGATTCAGCCACTTAGTTACTGTTGGTAATTTATTTGTTGATCATTTTAAGATTCTTCCTATTTACTTTAATTCACAGTTTTTAGTCTTTTGTGTTTGTCTCAACAGGCATCTATGCATCTGACAAATAATTCTAGGTCTTATTATCCCTATTTGTTTTCATTGATAGGTTTCATCTTTTGGCCAGCACTCTACAGTATGTGGTATTAAGTTAAGCTTGAACCCTCGATGAGTTAAATTAAAGCGCTCATCAAGAACCACACAGAATTCTTGGTAATAATGCCATTAAGTTAATACAGGCCTTTCACCTCTGTAATTATAAGTGCACTTCCTCCTGATTAGATGGTCATTTCAACCACAGTAAAAAGTAGCAGTGCAGGAGTATAAAGCTGGAATGACTGCATTCCTACTGAAGCAAAGGTTAAGGTTACTTCACTGAAGGTGGGATGCCCAAAGCACTTTATCCATTAGCATTTGGGCTAAAACCAGAGGGTGGAAACATCAAAGTGCATAACAACACTTCTTTTCTCACCCCTTCTGGTTCCTCTAGTCTCCAGGCAAAGAGCCATGCCAGACAAGTCAGACAAGTCAGACCAGTTTGGAAGGGGACCAGTCTCCAGAGACCCCGAGCCCAACCACACCAATACCTATATCCAAGAATGGGGCTGAGTCAGATATACCAACAGCGGATCTGCCAGGCGCTGCCATTATGGCCCCCGTCCTTCTGCCGCGGCCGAATCTCCATCGAGAACAGCTGGCCGATGATACCGAAAAATCTGAAAGTGAGGCCTCAACCAAGACTTCCAACTCAGACTCAGGCATTGAGGATGGGAAGAGTACCCCTACATCGGAGGAGGTAAAGGTTCTCCTTGTTTTAGATTCAGAAAATGAGATGTTACTGTATCTACTAATCCTGGATAATCCTAAAGCACTGACTGTAATGCATTCAAATAGTAATAATACTAAAATTCATTTTAAGGGTGCTGTGGAGAACCCAGGGACAGAGGAGCATGCTGACATGATCAGAGACTCAAGAGACCCAGGGATGCTTAAGATCCAGGTGACCAACAAGGAGACCGACTTAATGGGTAACAGAGACTCACTGACTCCAAACCGAAGTCCCACTGTCACTCCTACACCACCTCGTGCCCGCTCCCCAGTACCTACACCCCGCTCTAGGCCGAATGTCAGCCGAACATCGGATATTCCAGAGCGGATGTCGACAGGAGAAAATGCTGAGACTGTCTCGCCTTATATCAATGGAGGGATTATCAATAAACGGTACTCTTCCTCAGGCAGCACGGCATCGGAGAGCATGGACATGTCCATTACCAAGGGGAACATCTCAATGTCTGCAAAGGTAAGTCACCGTGAAGCAAAACACTCTACTTGGAAGAATACATAGGTGACACTTTTAGCATATAAGGTACCTAGTAAAGTGCAATGCACACCCTGGTCTGTTCTGTGGATATATTCAGTCTTCCTTTTAAATGTCAAGTAGAATGATGAAAATAACCTTACATGTACACAGTGATTTGCAGGGAAGATGAATGAACTCAGACATATCTCGAGAAACACTTGTGTATCTCAGAACACGTCTTTAAATAATTTAGCCCAGTATAGCAGAGTAAAAGAGGCAGAGAGGCAGCTCTCTGCTTCTGTAGGAAAAACCCCTCCTAGGAAAAATCATTTCTCAGCACCCACAGAGTAACTGAAACTGCACTGTGTTGTGTTTTGGGGTGTGGGTGTTACCCATCTGAAACAAAGGATGGCCTGTCTTCCATTAGGCTTAGACAACAACTTGCGTTTAGAGAGGATATGGAGAGCGATACTAGTTGAAGCTCTTAAACCTTAAGTTTAATGAGTTTCTTGGTATGGGGTTAAGACATTTGCAGTAAATCCATATTTATTTGGAGAATCTAGGCTGAATTACTGACACTGCTTAAAAAAAAAAAAAAAAAACTCCTCCAGTATGCAAATGGGTTGTAAAAATTTTGTAATTCTGAAACCAGAATTAGCCCATAAAGAATGTACTTATCCAAGCTTAGCAATGTGCCTGACAGTCCTAGTTAGGAAGCTGAAGAGAGAGACGAGAGAAACTATTTTATTGCTAGACACGATGCCTTTCGGAAGCAAAATATGCAACATTTTCTATTAATCGGGACCAACAGTGCCCTTTGTGTGGGCAGAGTTCCCTATTCAACATTGTGAATGGAAGTCTCTGTGCAACCCATTGTTGCTCAGTTCGTTCTGGAGGCTTATGGACTGACTGATTAAAATCCTACTGACTGTGTGCAGTCATGTCTGTTTGTAGTATGTTAAGTTTTTCCAGAACAGATCACTCAGTAGGCGGCTCCACCTGCAGCGAGGGTGAATGGGCTGTCTTTGTTCAAATAAAAGAGGACAGGCGGGCATATTAAGTCAGGTCTGTTGTTTTGCACTTAACACGTGTATATGACAGAGCATTAGTGTGTGCATTTGCTCATGAATTCATCTGCACTTGCACAGGAGAATGTGTGTGCAAAATTTCTTTTTGAATGTATAGTGAAGGGAAATCCAGAGTTATGTGCAGTAGAGTCTGAAACACAAATAAAGCAGCTGAACTATTGAATGGCCCACTGATTATAGCTCAAAGGTACTTAGTAAAACACTCAAACAAGTACAAAGACATATTTTAACTGTTATTTGTGAAAATGGCCTCAAACAGACTCATGGAGTCAATTAGCTCAGCTCAGGAAGATTTGTCAGAAAAGACAGCGTTTCTTACAAACAAATATTTAATTTATTCCAGTTTCTTTTTAGTTCGTTCTGTCAGGCTTCACTCGCCTTCCACTTCTCTGCTCTTCTGTTTTTATATGTGGTTATATATAGACCAGGAAATGACATCATCCAGGGTTTTAGCCACCAAGCGTTTCTTGGTATCTGTCTTATAAATATTGTCAGTGGACGCTGACTTAGATAAGGGACTCTGGAATTGTAACTGTTCAACAACACATGCTTAGTCAGCCATAATAATATTGGCAGCTTCGTTGTAAAAGGTGTGGTCCTACTCTGACTCATAGTAAATGTTTAATATATTATACAGGATGATGTTTGCTACCATAGTTTGATTGGTCTGCGCTTTCTTTTTCATAGGTCCTAAATTAGATGGTTTGTTCAAATTTAATCTGAGAGCAAAGAAAATGTCATTGGTCTTTTAGTGGTATTTCCATGGTTGGAAATAAATTGCTAGTTTAAAACTAGAATCTCTAAATTTCAGTAGAGGTGAAAAGCAGCTGAAAGTGATGAAGAACCCAGTGTTGCTGTACTAAGTTAAAGAAGCATGACAAGCCAGGTGACACTGTCATGTGATGGGGTGTGTTTGGTGTTACTTCCTGCATGGCGCTCCCCATCCCCAGTGATAGACGGAGCATCTTGCTACTTCATACAGTAGAACCAGACTGACAGGAATATCAATGGCTTTGTCAGCACCCAAACACACACAGCAGCTTCACCTTCCAGATAAAAAGACTATATTTGGAATTAAAATGTGGCCGGGGGGGGAAGTTGTATAAATCCTGTAGTTACTGTAGGGAGAGTTGTGTGATATCTGAAACAGTGACGAGGGGGGTGTAGAGTTAAAAAGAAGTCTCTACTTAATCCTAGCAGCTTGAGGTTACATTAGCCCCAAATAACATACATGCATGTACACAAGCTCTTGTCTTGTACCTAAGATCTGAATGAATGTGACTTTGTTTCACTCTGTATTTGGCCCACAGGACTTCTCGAGTAAGACTCTGAAGCGAACCAGGAAGTTGGTTTAAGATGGCATGGAGGTGAGCGTGACTACCTCCAAGATCATCGGTGATGATGAGAAGAAAGATGAGGAGATGAGATTCCTGAGGTAAGGGGGTGGCTCGCTGCCTCTCTACAGAACACACATTTAGTGCCTTCACCTTCTAGATAAGAACAGGTGGATGTATGTGCTGTCTATGTTTTCATTCCCTGTAAATGAGGGCTATGAACCCAGGGGTCTGTTCGTTCCTTAGCTCAGACTGAAGTCTGTATACTAAACATCAGACCAGGGGTTCTGCTCTTTCTGGCTTTATCTCCCTGAGGTTGGCAAATGTCCAGACTGTTATTGAGAAAGATGCACAGTATTTAGGTAATGGTTTGAAAGAAGTTACTTTTAGATTAGGGTGAAGATTTGGTTAACTGTAGGGAATCTAGTTGCAAAAGGGGATCCAGGAACACTTTTGTTGTCCAGTGACAACTTGATTTTCTTTGCATGGCTCAAAAATGAGCAATTTGTACACTGACAGGACAAATGATAAACACACTAAAATGCCATTGATGCCCTAGGGCTTTCTGTGCATTGCACCTGCCATCTAGTGGTTGGAAGATGACATTGCATCTATGACTACCATAATAACAGAACTAAACTAAAATAACTGAACTTCTTAATGATATTTTTTATGTTTCTTTTGCTTTTATTGTGGCACCTACATGGGCCAGACAGCAGCCCATTAAATCAGTGAAAATTTGCTTTAAGCCAACTCTGGTTTAATACATGAAGTTGTAACATTTAACAATGTGAGTGGTGCAAATAAAATGGATAAAGCATGATGCACAGATGTCAAACAACAGCTGAAGCACATTAAAATCAATTTAGATGTTGCTCTTACATTCCACAGCTAAGACACAATTTCTCTATTGTCGTTACAAATCAAACAGCATACACCACTTCAGAGGCTGAGGAGAAAAGGAACATTTCTGATAGTTAAGTGCCCTTTTTTTCCAAAAGGTGGTGACAGTTGGACCTTTAAACAACAGCGATTACGATGACAGGGAATAACAATATTAACTATCAGCTTTGCTTGTTTGTGTAGTTGTTAAACTAAAGCCATTAAAACCAATGACCCGTGTGTGTGTGCAGACGTCAGGAGCTACGTGAGCTCCGTTTGCTGCAGAAGGAAGAGCAACGCGTTCAAGCTGTTCTAAACGGCAAACTGCAAACACAGAAAGAACAAATGGAGAGACGTTTTGAGCAGGAGATAAATGTGAGTCACTGCCACACATACACAACTACCACATGATTAAGTACATCTAACAACATGCAGTGTGACCCCATACAACAGCCTGGTAATAAATCCTGCTGTCATAACTTTTTTTGTTTTTTTTTTGTCAGAAAGTTGTTTCAACTTTCTGGTAATTTTGTAATCTGTAGGCTGTAAAATTTGTACTCTTTGGATGGTAGAATAATTTTTTTCAAAACTTTTCTGATACACATTACCAAAGTATTTTCACTTTTATTTGAAAATAAAACAGCCCTGCAGTGTCTTGAATTATACCTTCTTGAGCTTACAGTGTGCTTGTTTCCTACTGGTGCATCCCAGGCCAAGAAAAGGCAATACGACCTGGAGCTAGAGAATCTGGAGAAGCAGCAGAAGCAGACTATTGAAAAGATGGAGATGGAGCACAATTTTAAACTCAAAGAAGAGACCAAACGCATCAAAGCACAGCAGGAACGAGAGTACCAAAAGTTTCTAGATCAACTGAAGCACAAGAAAAAGGAGGTACTTTTGAATTAGTGCATGTGAAAGAACCATTTTTTGTTAATGCTCACATACTTTATCAGCATATCTGTGCATGTCCATTTTGCCTTGTGTCACTGTCATTGATTATAGCTGAAATGCGTCTTCTTTAGATGAAACAGTCTGTTGATAAGCTGCCCAGAAATCAGCGTAAAGAATCCCTGAAGCAGAGTATGATTACCTTCCAAGAAATGAAGAAGAGCGAGGTACGCTGTTTGATCAGTATCTGACTTGGGCAGAGTTGCTGATTTGATTTTGTTCAGATTTTTATTATGCCACCTTATTAAATATTATAGTAATATTTCTTCCTTTTGTGGAGTAAATGCCTGACTTCTTAGAGATTTCAATACTACACCTGTTTCATCCACTCTTTTTTCCCTCCACTTCTCTGTTTTAGGAGGATAAATTCTTGGCAGATCAGAAGAAGTGTTTGGACACCTTGCTAAATAAAATCATCACTGACAACAAGAGGAAGATAACAGAAACAGAGAGAGAGTGTCTTAACAAGAAGCAGAAGCTAACCAGAGGTATAGCATTCCTGATCATAGTAATAACCTCTAGGTCTAGTTCTTATCCCTGGTGTAGAAAGAGGTTACACACTGTTGACATTTTTTCTTTTATTAACTCTGGTTAGAGCATGAAGGTTCGAAATGGGACATGGAGGAGAAAAATCATTATGAGAGACACCAGTTGCTGAAGCAGCAGCTGAAAGATCAGTACTTCCTCCAGAGGCATCAGCTTCTCAAGAAACATGAGACGGTAGGTCAGTGGATCGCACTTCTCCTTGCCACAATAAGTACTTTGTGTACCATTCTACACACATTTAACTTTTGATAGTAAGTAAATCATGTCAATATCAAGTCTTGAATCACAGGAACTCGTTTTCATTGGATTTTCCAGGCCCAGCTAAATTTTCCATGCAACATTTAGCCCCTCTGTTTTCTGTGTCACTACAGGAGCGTGAACACATGCAGCGCTACAATCAGAGAATGATTGAGATCCTGAAAGCACGGCAGCAGCAGGAAAAGAACCGGCTGCCTAAGATCCAGCGTGGCGAAGCCAAGACCCGCATGGCCATGTTCAAGAAGAGCCTCCGCATCAACCCACTGGGCAGCTCTGCAGAGGAGAGGGAGAGGATCAAACAGGTAGAGGCGGAGGGTTTTCTCACCCCACATGAAGCATGAAGTTAATCAGTAACTCACTCTCTGCTTCTCTCTAGTTTTCACTGCAGGAGGAGAAGCGGCAGAAGGGTGAGAGGCTGCAACAGCAGCAGAAACACGAGACCCAGATGAGAGAGATGAATGGCCAGTGTGAAAGTAACATCAGAGAGCTCCAACTACTCCAGGTGACTCACCTTTGACATCACTTTTCCACCCTGCATGTTACCGTTATGCTGTACTTGTTAGCACAGTCTGTAATTTCCCTACTGCAGTTTCTGAAAAAGTCTCCAAGAAAGGAGAATGAATAGAATAAATGGACTGCACTGATTAGTAAAACCATTTCCTGCTTCAGAATGAAAAATGTCACCTGTTGATTGAGAATGAGACCCAGAGGCTCAAGCATTTGGAGGACCGACACAACCAGGCACTGAAGGAATGGAGGGATCAGCTGAAACCGAGAAAGAAGGTAGGTTTCCTGTCACAATGTTATTAGAGTGAAATTATCTGAAAAATTAATAAATGAAAATATCTTATGTAGAGAAATAATTCAAATGCCTATCACAGACTTAAAGTGACCGGATCAGTTAGTGTAAAGTAGTTTATCATTTTAGATAAAAACAAAAATGGGTAATTAATTAAAGGAATAGTTCAGCATTTATGAAAATATGCTTACCTGCTCAGAATTAGCTCAGCACAAAGGTGGAAGCCTGGGGAAATGGCTATCCTGGCTGTTTTTTGAAGTTTAAAAACACACCTACAAACACATCTAAGGCTCTCAAATTAACACACTGTATCTCCTTTGTGTACCGTGTACACAGAACGATGGAAGAAATGACAAGTTGCTGTTTTGCAAGGGTCACACACTGTCAGTGGCAAACAGCAGCCAGTTGCAGTCGCTACTGGAGTCTTGTCTTTGTGCCATGATAAACTCAACACTAGATATGAGAAGGGTTTCAATCCTGTCATATCATACTCTTGGCAACAAAGTGAATAAGCATATTTCCAAAATGTCAAACTATTCCTTTGATTTTATACATAAGAAACTTGTCTCTGATCATCTATTTTTGTGCAGCATCCATTATATATGTATGTTTTCCATATAATGGCCCCTGACTAGTTTACCAAGTCGGCCATCTTGTCCAAAGACTGAGGAACACAGCATAATAGCTTTTCCTAACTTGGTACAGAATTATTCCACCTGAACATCATTAGACAAGTGTAAATAAAGTTCCTCTTTGGTTTGATATCCTAATACACCTTTCTGCAACCATTCTAGGCCCTTGAAGAGGAGCTAAACTTGAAGAAACAGGAGCAGGAGGCTTTCTTCAGGATGAGTCAAAGCTCTGATTGCCCAAATCCCAGTTCTCCCAATAAACTCTCAAAGTTTGTGCCTTACCAAGAGGCATCTGACACATAAAAACAGCTGCTGTGATATTGCGTGCACACACACTCAAAGGCATTAACAGTTGCCTTCTGCCTCAATTTTAATTAGCTTTGCCAGTAATGGAAGCATACATATCCCTTCATTAGTTTTCTTGATTGTTTTAGTGAATATTTATGTTTTAACTCATGCTTTCTCTTTGGAAAAATGTTGTAGTACTCAAGGGATTCAAAAGTCATAATGTGCTTCACAACTCAGTTACATAGTATCTTCTCCTATACAGTGTTTTGATATTTTTTTTTTTGTTTGTTTTGCCTTCTGTTAGTCTGCTTCGTATTGCTCACCAGTGGAACAGAATAACATGGTGCAGGGGCTGTTGGTTTAAGTGAGCTGATTAAATATGGAGGAGAAAACACTTTTTGGTTGGAAAGACGTTTGTTGTCCCAGGCACCTAACAAGGGAATTTCTATTTGCAGGAAGAGGGGAATGTTTGTTTCTATGAACGCTGGCGAGCCTGTAATAAAGCACTTTTTTTATTTACCCCAAATTATTAGTGCTGTCTTCCTACTATGACCAAAAATCCCCCCAACATTTAAAGATTTACTGACTGTTCTCCCCCCTTTTTTCTCTGTGCTCATTCACCTGTTTGTCATATAGCTGCCAAAGCCCGTCTTTATTTATTTTTACTTCTATTTTTTAATCAGCACCCATGGTAAGAAGGATGTACTTATTGTTTTGTATCTTGTTTAAAATGGGGATGAGGCTAAGTTATCAGAATGTATCATTTCTTTTTAAAGTTTATTTAGGAATAAAATTTTAACATTCAAGGGAAGGCTAATTGTTATTCGCAGTGTTTTTTTTTCTGTTGTGATTTTACTGTAAAATCTGTCACACTGGATGCAAACTGACAAAACCAAAGCAGAATACTGTTTTGTTCTTTGACAGATGTTAGATGGGATTTAAATCTAAATTTAAAAAATGTATTACGTGTGTAATTGTTATACCATGCTTGTTAACCAAAGTGCAATAATACATGTATGTCTTTGCTGAGCTTATAGAGGGTTTTCTTTTTCTAAAATGTTGCTTTCCTTTGCACTGAAGTGAAAAAATGTGAGTTTTACCAAGAACAAAACTTTTCAAAAGAAACATTGCTTAAAAATGATTTCATCTTCATACTTTTTAGTACTTGGAAAGCAACATTTTAAGGATCCCATTTTTCACCTGGATCTTATTTTGGAACATAACTTCATATTTTCAAAAGAGTGCCTTAACCTGTAGCTTGCAGCTGATAAATTTTGCCTGCAGAGTTGCACTGTATCAGGTACAGCTTAATTTCTCTCACACTGTCTGACAAGTATTTGACTTTGTCACGTTTAATGGTTCCATCTGTCTTCCCCTCTGCCTCAATTTACTTAAAATTGTTTGTATAAAGGGAATGTGAGTGCGAATGAAACTGTATCAGAAGGAAGCACTGTTCTAACTCAATAAATACAGATTTTCTAATTACAGGATGGTTTGTCATGTGGTTATGAAGACTTTAACATGATGTGATGACAACTAGGCACTTAAAGAAAAAAAAGTTTTAACTCCTAATCTGGGCAATTATCAGTCAATTTAAAGTTTCAGTGATTCAATTCAATGACCACAAGATTTTGACAGAAGAGGCAGGCACAGCATCTGTTCTACCAGATGCTACGACAAAAAAAATAAATAAATAAATAAAAAGAAAAGGCAAGAGAAGTACGCTCTTCCACTGACTCGCTCTCTTTGAATCACTTTGTTTGGCCAGGGAATGAAAATGTAAATGTAAATGCACTTGTATACATACTATACTTGTGTACTCTTCACAATACTTGGCCTGCTAATCCTCCGGTTAAGGAGATCCTCCTGACCCACCCCCATGAACTAGGTAACGCTTTCTTCATCATGCCTTTAAGCAATTAAAATGTGTGCCTCATCCCCTTTCCCTTGCTAAGTTGCTACTTGCAGAATAAACAACTTTTAAATAGTATTTTTTCTGTGTTTGTCAGGAAAAGTAAACTGCTCCTAACATTCAGTACTATCCTATGTTGACTAAGAACAATGGGACAGATGCATCACTTGGGTCTGATTCTATACATATAAACTACATTTGACAATGTGCGATAAGCTGCGTTGCTAGACTTGCCAAAGTAGCTGAAAACTGTAAATTCTTCCATTTATCTCTGTACAGTATTTTTTGAAAGCCCTCTTTATTCATACTAGATATTGGTGATTTTAGATTTTATTTAAAAAATAAATCCTAGGAATAAGCCACAGTTTTGTCTAAAAGCCTAAAACATGTCTTGTAACTTGTCTGTTTTCCTTCTCCTCAGCACACAGTAATGCTGCCTTTTAATGGTGGTACACAGCATTACACCAATCATAGTCTTAGTCATGGTCTTCATTCTCAGGCTTTCCTAGACTAGACTGTTAGGAAATCAAAAACCGTTTCTTTCATTACAACACCCAAAAGCAGCACAGACCTCTGGTGAAACCAGAAAACATTCTAAATGTGTGCTTACCCAGCAGCTGGATGGCTTGGTGGTTAACACCACTGACTTTGGTACGACAGGTTGGGGTTCAAGCTGTGGGACTGCAATAACCGTCAGCTCTTACCAACTTGTCAGCCTTTCCTAATGTAAACAGTTCTAATCCAGTGTGTTTTATTTGTTGTTGCTGCACATTTCTAAAAGGTCAGCAGTGCCAAGACTGAATTATGCTTCTTTCTTTTCAACCATAACACTCAGAATATACAAGATTTTACACTGTGAAAATGTTCAGTGGTACATTTGCTGTTTGCTGAAAGGAAAACTACTGTAGCTGCTACTTATAGCCATTATGGGTAGCTCATAGCGAGGCTGTGTATCAGTATGGAAGTACCTAAAGACTTGGTGTTGGTTTACAGGTGAGAACAGTTCAGATTTAAAGCCTTTTATGGAAACCCAGAGTGTTCAATAATAATAATAAATAAAAACATTGAAATTAATAATCGTATGAATAAATTGTTGAAAATAAGGACTTTCACAGGCAATTTGTGAAATTCAAGAAATATTAAACCTTAAGTCATTATTTTGAAATGTATTTCATTATTCTTACTTAATGGAGTTTTTATGTGTTATTTTTATTGTGATTATGGACATTATTATTTTAAAGTGCTATTTTTCAAAAGTCTGTTTTTATTTTCATACCTTTTTATGTCCCGTTACTACAGTAGCCTAGATGGGACATTATGTTCATGCTGCTGTCTGTGACTCTGCAATAGACATGTTCTTGAACACAGTAAGTCTGGAACAACAGGTGAAGTGAATCACACTGATGAGCTCGTTACATCCACCTGTCAGTGGGTGGAGTATATAAGGCAGCAAGACAACAGGGTTCAGAGAAGGACGGAGGGTGAAGTGGTGACTTACTGACCATGAGGTTGATTTGTTGTAGAGCTTTTGCGTTTAGAGTTTAATGTGCAGCCTTCTGTGTGTATGTAGATTCTTAGCTGTTACTCTGAGGTAAAGCAGTTGAATCGATGTCTAATTTCGAGTTCATAGGCTACTTTATCGAGCGTTAGCAAGAATTTAATGTTGGCGTGTAATGTTAGCAAAGCTCTGCTAACCAGAGGTTTTTAGAGCTGAAGACAAACCAGGCGTGTGTCCTCTCATTAGTTCCATGTGTGGTTAGCCTTCAGGTACGCTAGTGTTTTGTTTTAGTATGCTCATTTTAACGAGGTTAATTGTTAAAACGTGTTAGATTAGCGTTAGCACCCTCTTGTTTTAAACACCCAACAAGTTCACTAATGTTTAGAGGACACTGGTCTTGGACACAGATTTCCTTGTTGTAGTGGAGAAACCTTTTTAGCTAAGTGAGTTTTTCTGCCTGGTCTGTGTGAGATGGAGCCTCCGTTTAGATTGAAGTCCAGACAAACCATCAGCTGCCAGTCATTTAATGAACGGCCCAAAAAAGCTTTTTGTTTAAATTAAGGTCATATTCAAAATATCAGCAGGTTTTATTGACAGTGGAAGTAACGCCAGGATTTATCAGTAAGTAAAGTTAAAGAATGGTGTCCTGTTAACAATGGAGAATTTAATGTCTAAATGAGATTACTAAAGGTCTTTGAATGTCCAGAAATGAAGACTAACTGGAGGTGACTTGTATAAAGTTCCAAGAAGTGGAGTCTTGTAATGTTTTTTTTATTTTGACATTAACAACCGAGGGAGACACACATGTTAAGTTAATTCACTGCTCAGCGCCTATAAGGGTTGTTGTAGAAAATACTAAACACAGTTGTGCTCTTCAAATGACGCTTTGTTTTCTTTACATCTATTTGACATTTGTCTTATTCTACTCCTGTTCTCCAAGGTGGCAGTGGCCAGAGGATCCTTTCTATTGGCTACACAAACAAGATGCTCCACATCACCAACAATGAGGAAACGCATGCTTTACATTTTCCCTCTTCAAGAACAAAATGACACTACACCCCATCTCCAAGCTGTGGGTGGGTAAGTTCACCAGAATAGAAACAATGTCGTCATTTCATACATGGATTTGTACAAAATATTCTCAATCTTCAGAGATGCTCTGGGCAGGTGGCTTATTGTTGTATGAAGAAAGGTAGAGAAAGTTGGGTGACACTAATCTCACTTGAGGTGGATTCACTAGTTTTTGTGCAGCTTTTAATTACCATTACAGGCTTTCTCATCCATGTTTGTGTTGTACTAAATTTTGAATATGTACCTTGTGGTACAAGTAAACCTACAGAGCTAATGTATTCCTGTAGAATTGTATTGACTGTTAATGGTACTTTCTTTACCCATGTTCACTTGCCTTTTGGCAATATGTACAACAATGGAACTAACCATACTTTACATAGATGTATAAATATTTATGTAGTTCATTTCCCCGCTGTTTCATGAAAGGCAAGTAACTCAAACAATGTATTTGAATAGAGTGCACCTGAGAAAGTCAACTCAGAACTTGGCAGGCAGCCCAGTGAACAGGACCTGAAGCTTTGTGGGCGCCGCACTATAAACCTCCAGACAATTCAGGTGGTGAGTAAATTGTTCAGACCATTCTTTAAATTACTGTTAAAGATCAAATTTGCATGGCCTGTTTCATAAATTGTGTGATGGCGGTGAACCCAGCAGAGACCATATCAACAGTCTGGCCTTTTCTTGGGACTTGCCACCAGTAATTCAAAAATGGCTATTTCAACATGTGGTGAGATGACATCTTGTATTTCAGATTTTTTCTTTTTCTTTCCTTTAGTCTAAATGTTGACTTGGAACTTCGCTGTGTGTGTATACACGCACATCAAGAAATGCCAAGGGCTGAAAGAAGAGCTAGAAAAGATGTGGAAGGTGAAGGCACAAGTGGTCCCTGTGGTAATGGGAACAGTTGGGGCTGTGACCCCAACAGATCCCAGGAACATCTGAGATGCTGCACAGGACCCTCAAGCTCCCAGGCCTCGAGGAATAGAACACTGTCCCAAAGTGGGGGGGTGAGTGGGGAATTTTTTTTTTTTTTAAATATATGGATGTTCACTGCCCAGGTACAAATGTGCCCACTAAAAGCTTTTTGTTCAAAACAAAGCAAACCTATCAACAGGAGTTGAAATATAGAGCATATCCTGCTTTTTAAACTCAAAGCTTTTTCCATTTCCTCCTTAGGCAGTCAACCAGATGTCATTCTATGGCCAGACCATCAGCAACATTCTTGTGGATGTACATGGATACAGGTGAGTTTGTTTATAAATGGACAATTTATTATTCAAATCAAAGCATTTTTATTTTGCAGGCTCTTATCCAGCTGCTGATGTGCTTTTGGGTAAGATGGGCAAATCAAGGTAGTGTACCTCACATCGTCTGCAGGTGCCTGGACAACAGTTGTGAAGACTTCTACCTTTGACCCCAAAACTTCAGCAGCATGTGAAAAAGTGTACTCCATATGGGAGATTATTTCAAAGGCCCTGTGTTCAACACTCATTCTTATCAGGGCTTTTTTTTTTTTTTTTTTTTTTTAAATTATCCCATTAAAACTCTGGTTCAGCTCTTCATTCTTCACTGTACATCTTGGCCCAAAAACATTCTTATAAAATACAGTGGCAAGAAGCACACAGGTTTGCTTGGTGTATTTATTATCCTCATGAGGATTAATCTTAACCTTGTACAGCTGTTTTCACAGAATGAGTAACTTTTACAGTTATGCAGACTCCTCTGAATACAATTTGTCCTGCCTAGTGATGGGGCAGATGAAGCCATTTGCTCTAGTAGGCCATCTACTAGATGCATCAAGTCAGGTGGCATTTTGCAGAAAGCCTGTGGGAAAAACTCAGCAAAACATGTATATTAGTGATGGCGGGACACATTGGGTTTTTGAAAAAAGTGTCTCCGCTGTGGCAGGTCTTTAAGGGAAAAATCACATGGTGCAGCAAGGCTTTGGACGTCACATCACTAGTCCTGCCCATAAACTGCATACAAGTCAATTACATCCAGGTACTGTGCAGTCTTATGTCAGTCAGGTTTCTTTGCAGCATCAAGGAAGAACTCCAGAACCTGTGTACAAACGTGGTGGATACAAATGCAGAGTGAAAGCACTTATAGAGACGCTAATATGCACAGCTTAAAGCTGTCTTAAAACACCTCATATTAAACTAGAAAGTTTGTTAGATGGGTCAGATTGGAACGAAGAATGAAATGTTATATACAATTACACTGTGCTCCATGTTAGTTTTGAGAATTTCCATTACAATTCATATCAAAGTTACTTGAACACTTTTTAGTTTGTCAGGAACAAAGAGCTGAGAACTTACAGGCTGACCTGAACCTATCGGTGCTAGTATAGCATAGCACTTGAACCACCACATTTTTAGAATGTTTCTCACCTGATCAACTTGCAGTTGATGTCCATATATGTAGGAGTGACAGGGGCCTGGAACGCTGTCCGTCTTCCTCACAACATGCCCGAGGCTATTTAAGCTCTGCAAGTCCCATATTCTTCTCCTTGGTTCTGTGGCCTATTGAAAGATACATGGGGGGAGTTAGTCCTGTAATGTCTGTCCTAGTTATAACAATGACTCTGATCACAGAAACCTGTACGCACATTTTACACAGATAAGATTCATTAAAGGACTATTGCATTCTTTATTCAGGTTTCTCACTATATGATGCACTTTGAGGCTAAACAGGAGTTTGAATGACAACTGTTTTCTCTAATCAATTCATAATTCTTGCACATCTGAGCCTCTCCTCCCCTACTCGCCTGATCTTTCCTTAATGTTCCCAGCCTATACTTACTAGTCACATTAATGTAGTAACAGCATCAAACTGTTGGAAAAAGCACTGGACATAAGTGCATTTGAGGCATCTGTACTTAGTTTCTGCTGCTTCACATCTTACCATACCTTTTTACTCCACTAGATTTATTAGATATTTGAGTTTATAGTTTCTTTTCAGAATTAGATGAATAAAAAGGAAATACGGTATAAGCCTAATCATCAGATGTATCAGTACTGTTATTCTTAGTCAACATAGACCAGCTACAACATTAAAATGATGAACAATAATGAACCAGAAATTCTAATCAAATATACATCAATGTGAAATGTATTCTATTATGATTCTGCACAGTGACTACTTTTACTTTTGGTCATTTAGGTATATTTCGCTGCTAATGCCTTTGCACTATTATTTAAGCAACATTTTGAATGTATCACTTTTACCTGTAACAGGTCATCTCCGGCCAGTTTTGACCTCACTGGGTCTTCATCAGGGCGGAAACATACAGGTGCAAACAATTTGTTAGGTTTCTGTGCTGATGAAGACTTGGTGAGGTCCAAACCGGCCTGCGTTTTTTACTGAGCTGCACGATTAATATCAAAGATAAAAGACATTTACATTAATGGGGCATGTAAAACTAGGAGTTCTTTCATCTACAAGACTACACATCCAACATGGAATAAGTTACAAGTCAACTTGAAGAGATTTCTCCTAGATTGAGCAGGTTTCACCATTAGCCTGACAATTGACATTAAAGTAAAAGAGTACCGGACGGCTAACATCCTACATTAGCATTCGGCTAACGCTAGATAAAGTATCCCACCTGGAATAGAAATACATTTGGACAACTGTGTTAACAGCAAAGCACCTGCGCGCTGCCTACATACAGAACGCAACACATGAAATGCTTCCTGTGATTTTCTACAATTTTCAAATGCGACCCACCTGAGTAGCAGAACAGCTAGCATCTGTCTGGAATCTCCACTACAACCAAACTTACAGGACCACCACCGGAGATTAACTTGAAGAACCCGGCTACGATCTGATTGGACAACTTGACTCTGCTCTGTGATTGGACTGTTACTGTCCAATCAGATTCAGATGTGATTCACACTAAACCTGCCAAGTTCCAAATGTGTTCCTGTACAGCAGGTGAATATCTCTGTGGTTAACAACACTGAAGGTCGTGGTTCGCCATCAGGACACGATAGATCAATGTATAAATTTAAAGATAATGTACCTATAAATTAAAAAAAGCTACTTAGCTACAAAGTAGTGATAATTTGTTCATTTTAATTCTTTGTCCTTTATCTATTTAATCCTAAGGTGATGGTTTGAAGAGCAGACTCACACTAAGGTTTCTTGCTCAGATAATTTGAGGGGATCCAGCCGTTGTTTTTTTCTAGCACCTCAAACACTGTACCCACCTTGAAGCTGGATGTTTGTTCATCCCCACCAAAGTCTGCCACAGCTAGATACTGGGCTCCTTGAGTAAAGGTGGGAGCTTGTCATTGGGCGGACCGGGCTTGAACTGGGGCTTGGGAGGAATGGGTGCTTTATTAACTTTGGACTCTTCTTTCTCTTTGTTTGCAGGTGACTGAACAGACCCTTTGGGTTTAGGGGGTGGGGGTCTGCTGAGCTGTGGTGGTCCAGCCTTGGGAAGGTCCTGGGCTTCTTTTAGCGCAGGTGGAGGCTTGGGATTGGTTGGGCTGGATGGGTCGGTCTTCTTTGGAGGAGGAGGTCTCCTTGGTGCCGTGGGGAGGCACTGGTGGTTTTGACTGGGGAGATGAACTCTCCTTGCTATGACCGTTAATGTGCTTAATCAATGGTACTAGCCCTGCCCTGTTTGGGGCATTTTCACCCTTTACATTTTAGTGTGAATCATGCATCATCCATGTGTTATCTGGAAGTATCTCAGATGTGACATGAAGGTAGCAATTGTGGATGCTGACTCAGCATCCACACAACTATATATCTATATATAGAGATTGATCGATATAGATACAGTGCCTTGCGAAAGTATTCGGCCCCCTTGAACTTTGCGACCTTTTGCCACATTTCAGGCTTCAAACATAAAGATATAAAACTGTAATTTTTTGTGAAGAATCAACAACAAGTGGGACACAACCATGAAGTGGAACGAAATTTATTGGATATTTCAAACTTTTTTAACAAATAAAAAAACTGAAAAATTGGGCGTGCAAAATTATTCAGCCCCCTTAAGTTAATACTTTGTAGCGCCACCTTTTGCTGCGATTACAGCTGTAAGTCGCTTGGGGTATGTCTCTAACAGTTTTGCACATCAAGAGACTGAAATTTTTGCCCATTCCGCCTTGCAAAACAGCTCGAGCTCAGTGAGATTGGATGGAGAGCGTTTGTGAACAGCAGTTTTCAGTTCTTCCCACAGATTCTCGATTGGATTCAGGTCTGGACTTTGACATAGCCATTCTAACACCTGGATATGTTTATTTGTGAACCATTCCAATGTAGATTTTGCTTTATGTTTTGGATCATTGTCTTGTTGGAAGACAAATCTCCATCCCAGTCTCAGGTCTTTTGCAGACTCCATCAGGTTTCCTTCCAGAATGGTCCTGTATTTGGCTCCATCCATCTTCCCATCAATTTTAACCATCTTCCCGGTCCCTGCTGAAGAAAAGCAGGCCCAAACCATGATGCGGCCACCACCATGTTTGACAGTGGGGATGGTGTGTTCAGGGTGATGAGCTGTGTTGCTTTTACGCCAAACATAACGTTTTGCATTGTTGCCAAAAAGTTCGATTTTGGTTTCATCTGACCAGAGCACCTTCTTCCACATGTTTGGTGTGTCTCCCAGGTGGCTTGTGGCAAACTTTAAACGACACTTTTTATGGATATCTTTAAGAAATGGCTTTCTTCTTGCCACTCTTCCATAAAGGCCAGATTTGTGCAGTATACGACTGATTGTTGTCCTATGGACAGAGTCTCCCACCTCAGCTGTAGATCTCTGCAGTTCATCCAGAGTGATCATGGGCCTCTTGGCTGCATCTCTGATCAGTCTTCTCCTTGTATGAGCTGAAAGTTTAGAGGGACGGCCAGGTCTTGGTAGATTTGCAGTGGTCTGATACTCCTTCCATTTCAATATTATCGCTTGCACAGTGCTCCTTGGGATGTTTAAAGCTTGGGAAATCTTTTTGTATCCAAATCCGGCTTTAAACTTCTCCACAACAGTATCTCGGACCTGCCTGGTGTGTTCCTTGTTCTTCATGATGCTCTCTGCGCTTTAAACAGACCTCTGAGACTATCACAGTGCAGGTGCATTTATACGGAGACTTGATTACACACAGGTGGATTCTATTTATCATCATTAGTCATTTAGGTCAACATTGGATCATTCAGAGATCCTCACTGAACTTCTGGAGAGAGTTTGCTGCACTGAAAGTAAAGGGGCTGAATAATTTTGCACGCCCAATTATTCAGTTTTTTATTTGTTAAAAAAGTTTGAAATATCCAATAAATTTCATTCCACTTCATGATTGTGTTAACCTAAGTACAGTATTAGGGTTCTGTACCTTTTAAAGAGAGAACCCCATTCCAGCAGTGCAGACACAGTATGACAGCTGAACTGAAAAATCAAGAAACTTTTATTGACTTAAAAGGAGACTCAATGCAATGAACAATACATATCACAATAGTAAGATTACAATACTGAAATGACACCATGAACCCATATTTGCCTGTAGCTGTACCTTTCACATAAATTATGCCTAAACAATACAATTTTAGATTTATTTCAACTTGCCTTTCTTTAGTTGGCAATGTACTATACTGTCCATTCTGGGATGAAAGATGGTGTAACATTAAAGCAACTCAAAGCAGAACAGAATCAGTGTTGCAGCTTGTAGCCTTGTCTGATTATGGCCAGAACCATGAACCTACTTTTTTTTTTTTTTTTTAATCTTGACCTCCTGATATGAAATTAGTAGCCAGTTTCATATACAGTACTTTAGGTGACCTACTTTTCAGTTCTCTTGACAAAGATTTTGTCAAATTAAAAGAACCCACATCAACTGCCCAAACTACTCCTTGGCCCTTTCATTTTCTCATCCTTTGAAAGATGAGGACCACACACAGATTTTTTTTAAATTTTCTTCTTTATTTCAGCATTTTGACTCATGATTTCACCAGTGGTCAAACATGGATGCTGTGTTTGACCCATAATAAAGCCATAAGCCAAAACATCAGGTCTAATTTTTTAGAAGATGTCAGTGAAATGAAAAAGAAAAGAGTGTGTGTGGTCCTCCTCTGTTAAATGGAGTTCTAGGGTTACCGGCACAGCCCAAAATTGATGGGGTTGATTGTGCTTTTTCACTTGACTTGCTTTTTATAAACCTTTCTTTAGTACAGAGTAAAATACCTAACTGATGGGCCATCAAAGAAAACATAATTCAGATATGACTAATTACTGTACAGTAAAAATAATTGCTATAATACTTGAGACCAGTCAAGCATTAAATGTAAAAAAAAAAAATTGATACAATGGTCACACTGTGCTGTTATCCGAGCACCATCCATCTGTTAAGAACAGACTGTACACTGACAATACTGTCAATCATTGCACAATTCATCATAGATCTGCAGATGTGCTCTGCGAGTGGCACCTCACAATACTTATTTTTGGTTGTGAGCTATTTTGTTAAAATAACTTCTGGCATCTTCTCAGTTTTGATGTTCTAGCCTCATCTTTATGTCGGTGGATACTGTTACAGTGAATATAAAAAACATGGCCAGTGACAAGTAAAACTAAGAAATAAAATGCACTGTGGCATTCTTCTTCACCATGTGTAAACCTTAAACTTATCTCATCTAAGATGACTTGAAAAAGTGCACATCTGTTACAAGTTATCGAAGCTTGAATTATGCAGTCAAAAAAGAAAACATTACAGTAACACAAAAGCTTGCATGCTTTGAGTATAAAACAGAATTTCTACTTGGCAGACATCTTTTAATAATTCCTAATAGAACTTAGAAAGCACAGATGTGGTCACTGAACTCCCCCAGTGAGTCCATGTGCAGTACTTGTCTAAAGGATTTAGGATTATGTTTTTGTCTACTGCTCAGGAATGACTGGCTAGATTTGAACATATAGTTTATTCTACCTTGATCCGGGTTTTAGACCTTTAGTCAAAGGTTTTACTGAACTATGTTTACAGTTGCATAAAGTTTAAGCATTGATGCACTTTGCATATACTATTGAGGCACTGTATCATAGAAGGCATGGGTGTACATCTATTGCTGAAGCGTCTAGCCTATGTGATGCTAAGACTGGCACAGGCTACAACTAGCATATGGCAACAAAAACACGTAGCTTTGCCTAATATTTTGTGTAATATTTAGGTAAAAACAAGTAAACATTACAAGACCCGTAAGGTCATGTGTTATTGCTGGTTCAGTTTAAAATATCCTTAAAAAAATTAAACAATGTGTAAATTTAAAGATAATGTACCTATAAATTAAAAAAAGCTAATTAACTACAAAGTAGTGATAATTTGTTCATTTTAATTCTTTGTCCTTTATCTATTTAATCCTAAGGTGATGGTTTGAAGAGCAGACTCACACTAAGGTTTCTTGCTCAGATAATTTGAGGGGATCCAGCCCTCGACTTCTTCTCTTACATTTTTACAGAACCACCAGCCGTTGTTGTTTTTTTCCAGCACCTCAAACACTGTACCCACCTTGAAGCTGGATGTTTGTTCATCCCCATCAAAGTCTGCCACAGCTAGATACAGTTCATCCTTACTGGGCTCCTTGAGTAAAGGTGGGAGCTTGTCCTTGGGCGGACTGGGCTTCTCACTCTTGAACTGGGGCTTGGGAGGAATGGGTGCTTTATTAACTTTGGACTCTTCTTTCTCTTTGTTTGCAGGTGACTGAACAGACCCTTTGGGTTTAGGGGGTGGGGGTCTGCTGAGCTGTGGTGGTCCAGCCTTGGGAAGGTCCTGGGCTTCTTTTAGAGCAGGTGGAGGCTTGAACTCGGTCGGGCTGGGTGGGTCAGTCTTCTTTGGAGGAGGAGGTCTCCTTGGTGCCATGGTGGGGGGTCTCTGAGGGGGCTCCTTATGGGGAGGCACTGGTGGTTTTGATGGGGGAGATGAACTCTCCTGGCTATGACCGTTAATGTGCTTTGGGGGGAGTTTTGGCTTGTCACAGTACTTACTGTTATTGAGTGTAGGGATGTGGATGGGGTGTGAACTAGTTACTGTTGCTGAGGAGTCATTCTGATGGTTCACCTCAGCTGATGCAGGGCCAAGATCTGCAGGTTTTGATGGTCTCAGCTTGCTTCTCAGGTTGGTGATGTCCAGTTTGTTTTCTGCTGGGGGATCTGGCTTTGCAGCTGAAGCAGGTTTAGGTTGGATTACCGGCTTTGCCTTCATAAATGATGTTGGGCCAGATGCCTCTGGTTTCTCCTCCTGCACTTCTGATTTGGGTTTTGGTGGCTGTTTGGGTACAGGTTTCAGATTAAACTTCTTCACCTCTTTGGCAGAGACCTTGTGACCACATTCAAGACCCATTTCATTCCGAAGGTGGAGAGCTTTGCTCTTATCTTCTTTCTTGGTCTCTGGTGGTTTATCTGGTTTGAAGGCAGCTGCCTTGGGTGGAACCAGTGGCATGATGACCCCGGGAGCTGGGGGTTTTGGGGGCAAAGGCTTGGAATGATCAGATCTTGGTCTCTCTGCTACCTCCAATTCAAAGCTCTTATTAATGGACTCCCTTCGAGGTGGCAGAGCTGGTTTCTCCTCATCCGGAGGAGCAGCTGGAGCTGGAGGCAAAGGCCCAGAGAAAGCAGAGGCCCCCTTGCTGGCACTGGACTTCCAGTCTCTCAGCTTAGGCCGGGCACATGACTCAGGGGGTGCAGTTGGCTCATCTGGTAAAGGCTTGGACCAGCTGTCATCTGTGCTTGAAACTGTTGAAGAACCAGCATCTTCCAGTCTCAGCTTCTCCATCTCATTGGGCAGAGGAGCAAGGAAATTGGGTCGCACAGCATTACTGGTCTTCTTGTACTTATCAATAAAGGTGGCAGGGGCCCAGCCCTCTTTATCATCTATCTGGATATACCACCAACCACTTGAATTCTTCTCAATCACCTGGTTGGTAAAGATATCATATAAGATCAATCAAAAAATGTAGAACATTTACAAACATTTTTTCAAGGCAAATGTTTAACTATAAAATCACTTTTCATACTTTGATTTTAGGGAGTGCCTGACTTACCTCAACTTTGACTCCAGCCTGGAAGCTAATGCCGTCAGGGATGGTGGTCTGGAAGTCTGCTATGGTGTAGAACTCTTCCTCAACCTGAGGAGGAATGGGTGGCTTGGGTAGGTCTGCGCCACGTGGCTGTGAAACATGAGGCAGATGTACTGGTTAGGGCGACAAGAATCAAAAGGTGAGAGCTGTCTTCAAATACAACAGAATCCCTACTGGGTCAGATCTTACAATGGTAAGATCCCTGCGCGGAGGAAGTCTGTGTCTTGATCCCACTTCTGTGGAGAGAAAAGAGTTTTTTGAAAGTGCATTTACTAGAGATGTCCCCATCTAATACTAAATATCGTATCAGTGGCAGTCTGGGCAATCTGTTTTAAGATGCGTGTCACACAACCGTTAAGTGCCTATTTAAATGATTCAGCTGTCTACACTGCCCGGCTGTGTTGGCTGGCTTATTACTCGCATGTAGCCATGACCTGAATCCTAATTTTAGTGTTAAACATAGAAATGTATCAAGCAAAAAAATCTGTTCCATCAGTCCTACTGAGCATGGCAGCTTTTTATTGGCTGTTTGTTGATGTTTTGGACCACAGGTTTCCCTTTTCCAAAGTGTTTCTGTAGGCCAGGGGGAGTTTTTGTACACCAAGCACTTGCTACGTGCGAGGGAACATGTGCCTGGTATAGACATGAGGTAACACACGTCCCGCAATGTGCACGTGAGATGTTACACACTGCACTTTATGTTTTAGGTGATACGTTTTTTGCTTTTGTCCAGTACTGCTACGACAGCTGCCACCTTTTGTTAATGCAGCACCACTAAATTGTCAGGGAGGTCTGAACCGGACTGGTTACACAAACTGCGGATGCCAAGTGGTATTTAGCATGATCCTGATCCAGTATTTGGATCAAGAAGCTCCTGGAAAATAGTGTGCCAGATTAATTTCAATATATCAGAAATTAAATGAACATTTACTGTAGGTAAGTAAGTGTCAGATCCGTATCGGGGCCAAAAAAAAAAAAAAAAAAAAAACTGGATGGGGACATCCCTAGTGTTTACATAAGCTCACATGGTTTACGTTTATACACCTTTTAAAAATGAAATCTGAAATTAATGTGTGTTGCATCAGCAGAAAAGATGACTTACTTTTGTTCTCGGAGAAAACGGAGAGCCTATTTTCTCTCTGGCTGTTGTCTCGGTTCTCTCTGGAAGCATTGTTTTGTTTGGAAAGTCCATCTAGGTCATTTGTACTGGCATGAGTGGCAGTGCCTGCTGCCTGCTTCAGGCTCTGAATGTCAGTCTTTTTCAGGTAGGAGGCTGGGGCCCAGCCCTCACGGCCCTGGTACCTGAGCAGAGGAGAGGTGTACAGTATGTTCAGTGGCTTCAGCTGAGACAGAAACACTGACTGTGTGAACCAACTGGGAGTCTCTACAGTGACATCAGTCAGAAAAGTATTTAGTAGGGCTGCACAGTTATGGTAAAAATCATATTCATGATTTTGGTCAGTATTGAGATTACGATTATTTATCAAGATTAGCCTTCTCATTGACTTCGGGTTTTCTTTAAGTTCAATAAATGCATGATGTTTTCACTCTTTTTTTTCTTAGTCATCTTTAAATATGATTCAACTGAAAAATACAAGTATTTCATCTATGCTACCTAATAGTAATTGGCAGACAAAATTACTTACGCTAATCACTCTACATTTACTGTACAAATAATTACTTGGCTATTTCAGGGTAACAATACTGATACTGCCCGTCATAACCTACAGCATCTGCTGGGCTCAGCATGACACAGCCACATCTCTCTCTTGTTTAACAGTAAGGCTACATATGCACAGTCATCTTTTTGTTTTAGCTTGTTCATAACTTTAACAAGCTGCCACTGTACAGTTAACACCAACATGGTGGTGCAACAGAAGCTGAAATCATCGCATCACTGCAGGTTTCTGCTCGTTTAACAGCAGTGTTGATAAATTACTCTCATTTACTTTTTTTTTTTTTTTTTACTAGTGGAGGTTTTATCTCACGTACATTAACAAGTTTAGGTGTCAACTCGAGACACGTTTCACTTCACCCCACTTGAACAAAAAAATGCTTGCACTGTACAGCGCTGAACGGGTGCACTAGACTTATAACACAAGACAAAATGAGATCATTGTGAAATGGAACGTGGCACGATAATCAATTTATTTGGTTTTCATAATCATTGGAAGCTGAAATCATGATTGAAGATAAAACTGGATTAATGGCCATGCCCTAGTATTTAGTATGTCAGTAATTTGAATTACCTTATTTTCCACCAGCCCTCCAAATTCTTCTGAATCACTTCAACAATCATGCCCCTCTCCAGGTCAATCTCATCCTGATCCCTTGCGGAGTATGGATAGATCACTGAATACTTTTCTTCTAGAATAAGAAAAAGACAATATTGTTAAATACAAGTACAAAATGTCTGTTTTGAAAATTTGTGTGTATTGGTTCATAAATAAAAACTTTGGAGACAAAGCACACACTTGTGAATACTTTATCCAACGTGACCCTCTCCTTATGTGATTTAAGATATAGTACTGTACTTGCTACAGACGTAAACTCATTTTACTGATTAGCGAACTGATTCAACGAGGCAAGGCTTGAGCAGCATCTTGTGGAGTGAGAAGATGTAAGATACATGTGCGACACACAAAACGGACATCCTCCACAAATATGACACTTGTTACAGTACCGTACATGAAATACCATCATTTCTACTATTTTTACTTATTATAGACATTATATGCAAGTCTACTATGCTAATGTATTAAGCATTTGTTAATGCTGGTTAAGTGAAATGACATATTTTCATCTATAAAGTTTAATTTCTAAACATACAAATGCACAGTCCACTTAACATGCAAGGATTTAATTTACATGCTTGGGTCTCTCATGCAGCATACCGTACATATGATGCATACACACGGGCAAACATGCACACAGATGTGTGTGCACATATTTAGAATAGGGGGAAAAGAAAGGCGTGCGCTCCACCTTGCCCAAAGCCTGTGCTGAATAGATCCCCTAAAGTTCTGCGGCGACCCACGTGCCTTGGTAGTGACCAGAATCTCCGAGGCACTGACATCCCAGCACGGTAAGCGAGGCAAAATAGGAAGTGAACATTACATTCTGTATACCATCCTGATGATTTCAAGCTAAATTAGAGAAATTTCAGTATTGGTGGACCTACTAGAATGATCTATTTCTACCAGGCCTGTTGCTAGATAGTGAGGTTTTCATTTGCTGACAAATAATCCTTTTAGATTTGAGCAACGTTAGGTTTTTTTAATCAAAGTATTACAGGGTCTAGTCATGCTAGATGGGTTCTTTCTTTCCCTTTGAATCCCCTTCCCAGTCTCCAACCCTGTGTGTTGTCCTTACCACAACAAGCATCATTTTGGGTTTGTTAATTAAATCTTGCTCATTACTAGGAGACTCATTAAACCAATGTTGACTAACACTGAGACAATTTGACTGTTCTTTATGTACATAATTCCTGTTGTATTCTCAACATTTATGCCACATAAGACCATTATTTTTCTATTGATTCATTTATCACTTTGCTATATATTTATAGCTTGCTAAATAATTCAGGTATTAAAACATATTTGGGCTGCTGTTCTGAAGGGCAATACACATCAGCAGAATGTGATGCATATTAAAACGCGTTTTATTGCAAATGCGTTTTTTTGTATTAGCTTCAACACACAACTCTCATGACATTTTGTCACATTTGCTGCCTACGTCTGCACATCGCTGAACTTTGAATACTTCTGTTTATATGGAGAGTCTGTGTGCACTATAGGAGTTAAATGGTGCAAGCCCAGTGATGTGGTACCAACATGTGTTGCACTTCAGAAGGCAACAGAAAGAAAACAGCACTAAACGTACAAGTATAGTGTGACTTTACTTGCAGCCACATTAAACTAAAAGCAAGGAATAACTTGCAAGGACAGTTGGGTTTTAGAGTAAGCACTAAAAGTCCTTGTATCTAAAAGTGTTCCTTGCAGACACTGTATCTAAACAATACAGCAACCAGATGGAGGGCTTTATTTACCTTCTTCTGCTGGAAGACTGAAGTCATCAGGGTCATCCTGTACCTCAAGGCAGGTGGCAGGGACCCAGCCCTGGGCATCTTCTGAGCTCACAAACCACCATCCTGAATGAGGAAACACAGTGACATATGGGATTACCATGGGAGAACTCATTCACTATTGTAATGCATTACATAGTGTATATTTATGGTCTTTACATTTTATATTTTAAAGATTAAACTGAACAAATACTTGTTGCACAGCCATGCCGACAAGTACTGGTTGACAAATCCCCCACAGCATTGGGTTTAGCATCATAATAAACAACACCACAAAGAAAATGAGAGTATACTGGATGTTGTATGGAACTTACCGGACTCATTTTTCTCAATGACCTCCACCACCTGACCCACATGCAGGCTGATCTCTGAGCTCTCCTGCTTCTCATAGTCTGTTACTGCCACACACTGCTCAAGGAGGAGAGGGTCTGCTGAGGTGCAGTCACCTGTTAAGGAAAACAAAGTAGAAGAGGGGCTCATTTAGCTCTTTTCCTTTTCTGTCCCTTTCTACAGCAACCCAAAGATGAAGTCTCAATAATGTAAAAAAGCCTCCACCACCGGTTATGCACAGTGGTGCTCTGCTATTTTTTTTTTTTTTTAAATGTGATATTAATTCCATCAACATAAACAATGCATCCCTGTGCCTTTGAGATACTGGCTTTTAACATTTCTTACATCTCATTGCTTGAATGTAATAGGACCTTTTAAAATGTCATCTTTTATGAAAAAACTCCAAAGAACTTTACTAAAAATCCAATTTAGGTGTCGCCTTTACAAAACAGCCAAGACGCATTTGCAAAGCTTTAATAATTGAACACCTCCTTTTTTTGTGAAATGCTAGTAATAATTCTAAGCTCCTGAATGAAAAGTTGAAGTGGAAGGAGGCTTATCTAGAGTATGGAGATTCATCCTGAGAGAGGAAGAGGAGGGAGTGGACATGATTGGAGAGATGGTGTGAGGAAAAAAAAAAAAAAAAATCACTGAACTGACAGAGGGATAAAGGGGGATTTGGTCAATGGGAGTGAATGAAGATAAAAAAAGCATCATGGGTTAAACACGGCCGTGACTTCCACACAGAAACAAACCAACACCACTTAGACCCACCACCAAAGTTAGCATCAAGCCAGCCAGACAAAAATCAACTGCAATACACCCAGTGGTAAAAACTCATTACTATGGGTTGTTTCTGTTCATGTTTTGTTGTTAAAAAAAAAAAAAAAAAAAAAACTTGTCTAGAACAAACCGTGTTTGATGAAATTTACTTTACAAATAAAAATTAACTGAAAACAAAATACCTTTTGGTTGAAACATAGCATGTTGATTTTTTATTTATTTTTTTACAACCATCATGCTGGCAGACATGGTGAACAGACATTGACATCCCCAACAGCGTGCACGTCACATGATGGGCACATTTTCAACAAATGAGTTCATAACTCTCAGGCCAACAAAAAACGGGTCTGATCAGACAAGAAGAATCTGATATAAAGTGAGCATAACAGGACGTGGCAGTTCTCAAAACATCTTAAAATACCACATCTGTCTTTCCATGTGCATCCTTCACAGTGGGCAGCAGCAAGCTGGGTGAATTGGGATAATTCTTTTAAAATGATTTGCAATAGGCTCTCAAATTAGTTACAGAAGCATTTTTCAAAAGCACATCAGAACGGAGACTAATATCAGGCTGAGTTTAACTAAGTGAAGAGGCTCAGCTAACTAACTTAAAAGCAAAAAACTGAGCATAAAAAATTAATTTACACAAAAAAAAAAAGCAGGAAAACTTACGTCAGCTAATTTGAGCTTGGAAGAATGGCCACACTACACTGACTAGTTAACCCAAGTTAATATTTAAATCACTTCATTTATAAAATTATATTTACTTTTGTATCGTCAGTCTTTTCTACTCTGCCCCAACAAAACATACTTATAAAGGAACACCCAACAAATTAGCCACACAAGATCAGCTATACTGGATTCTTCGTTTACAAAACCAATACAAACACCAAGTCTTGAACAGAGCCACATCCCACCTGCCCAGGCCATGGAAGGAGAGGGGGAACGGGCCACTAGCAACCCGCTGGCTCACACACACAGCACGACCAAGCATGACAGTGTGATTACTACCTCGCTTTATGAAAGAAGTCGCTCTCTCCACAAACCCTGATGGGAAGGGAAATGAATGGAGAAGAAAACGGAACAAAATGACACAGATGCAATCAAGAGTATCTGATGAGTAAGGAGGGTAAAGTCAGTTTTAAGAGAAACTGTGAAACAATGTCAGTGGTTGTTTCTAAGTAACTGGTACTGTAATAGTCAATGCCAGGAAAACATTTAATATATTTTGGTATAGACAGGATATGGCTATGTAATTGCTCTGGTGGAATCCGTGATGTATAAACCTCAGTGACCACTAGATGGAGATAATGTCATATTACATAGATGAATTGTAGAAAACTTATATAGTCTTAGTGGAAGGAAGTAGAAGAAAAAGTACCAGATTATATTTCCACAGTTTTTTTCAAAGACAGAATAAAACAAGGCCACCTAACAACAATTTTCAATTAAAATACAGAAATAAAGTTTCATCTTACCCGATTTCTTCTTTCCAGTGGGTTCCCTGGCAATGAGAGGAAATAATCATGCTACTTTAAAGAAGTGAATCAGTTTACAGAGATATAGATATTCCTGGCCAACAAATACAATTAGAAATATTTATAATTTATTTAAACTCATGAGTGTCACCAGATAACCTAAAATGTGAGGGGGGAAAAGATTAAAATGGCTGCTCTAATTATTCAATCATAACATCCACCGATTCATTACCCTAAACCTACACCTTCCAAGAAAGAAATGGTTGGGTTATGTGTGTGCCAGGGAGACGCTTGGTTGTATACATTTACTTTATTACTACTGCTGTTACCAGTACTATCTCTGTTACTGTTCTCTATAGCAGATCTAACATTATGCAACGGTAGGAGAGAAGGATCTGTGTCTTTTCTCTCTGATTCACGGCCATGTGAGTAATGAGTAAGCAGCCACCGGACAGCTGATATCTGAAATGTAGTCTGATGTTAGATTCAATACAGCTTCTGCTGTGTCTGGTTTAGGCATTAGCCAGATAAATAGACCATCACGCCACAGGAGCCAATTCAATGTCCAGATGCCCCCAAAGGTCACTGGTGGTTAATGCTCAACATTTCACTATCTCATTCTCGCTGTCTCTCAGTCTTAGTTATCTATATATTTTTCCATTACGTCATGGTCATATCGACTTTTTTCACGACTCCTCCATCATATCGGATCATTTTCCTTGGCACATTTTTCTTTCCCCTGCAGCAACATGAATGTTCTCAGCCACTTAAAGCATTTGTCAATTGCCAGAACTGTTAACTGCAAAGGCTTATGTCACAATAAATCTATAAGCATAATTTGGATTATTACAGAAGAGGAAAGTGTGTGTACAGTGTTGTATTCTTTGATTGCTTGTTGCTGAGGTGAAACCAGGGTCAAGTTATGTACCGGTCATAGCCACTGGCTTGGACCCCTCAGCTACAGTAATACATTTATAACTAATTTAGGGGATTAAATTAATTGAATCCTCCCGGTCATAAATTTCCATGTTTCTCTGGCTGGTTACAAGAGCAGTCTTGCCATTAGAGCAAACATCAGTTTCAACCTTTATTAGAAAACTCACATCAAGCAAACATGATATGACAAGTGGGAACACAAACTGATACGACAGAGTAACTGTGACAAACTTTACAGGTTTTTACAGAATAGAGAAAACAGGGTCACATTTTTCAAAGCCTCTACTACAGGGGAGTATACAAATATATCTGCTCGTGATTCTTGGAGACCTGTTGCAATAAAAGCTATGAGGGGCAAAACCCTAAAGTAAACAGGCGCAGTGCCACCGAGGACTTATTCGATATTGATGAGCAATGATTTTCAAATATTCAAACAGTCATTACATTTAAAAAACTATTTCATGCGACTGTGGTCTTGGCTTTAAAAACGAAGAGCCACTGTTTCCCCTTGCTTTTACCGGTGCCTGGATATAACACGATAACGAGCTCAGTATATCATTTTACTACAGCGGGGTGGGTGTGGGGGCTCTGTTCCCAGTGAATATCAAATAGCTTGAAATGCCCATCCCTAATATTGAGTTGAATGTTTAATGAAATCACTCATCTCTCCCTCAACCCCTTCCCGTTACATCCTTCGGTCCAAGTTGTATATTAGTTGGTTTCCATCCAGCTCCACTGTCAAATACTACGTTCCCCTTTTTGTTTTTGCACTGCTTCCTCTTTTCGACTTTCCCTTCTGGCCCATCTTTTCTGGCTCACTGTACCTCTACTTCCTGCTTTTTCCACTTTTCCTCCACCCTTCATCTTCTCTTACCTTTTCCTCTATGACTCATAAGGAAAAAGTCTTATGGCCCTATCAGCACAGTAGATTTATAGGCCGTGATAAATCTTCCCCCACACTGGCTGCTGTGTCTGTGCATTGGCCCTGTCTGTCAGTCAGCCAAACAACAGTCTGCTCTAACAAAAAACAGTAATCTAATTTGAATAAAGACAAACCAAGGTCTCTCCTATATTCATCCCCCCACAAATAAATGCTCCCTCGCTTTCCTGCTTCTTCCAGCACATGCTTGGGGTTTTGTGAGGTACTGTATGTGTCCTCGGCGACCTCCTCTGAGGGAGGGAGGAGAGATGACCGTGTGCGAGAGAGCAACAGGGAGAAGGAGATGGGGAGATGCAGCTGTCAGCAATGATTTATACACATCAACAGTCTGCTGACAGGCTGTCGATTCTTTCAGACATATCGGCCATTTGCTATCAAACAATTACTGTTGCCATTCAGACATGTCTGCTTGAATCATATATCTGGTAGACAGCAAGCCTCTCTGCATCCAAGAGAACATAGAAAATATGAAAAACACTGTCTCGTTTACAGAGTATTTTAACATTGCCATAACCTAACGACATGTAAATACTTTTAAATCATCCGTAAAAATACTCAAGTGAAGAAAATGCTTTCTTATTGATCTTATGCAGATTTAAGATACAGAAGGTTACGGCCATTACACTAATAAAATACTGGGATGAGAGAGGCATCTCTGCTGAGTGACACATTCACAAATATCTGATATATTACCACGGGTCTGAGCAGTACAACAACCTCAGTATACCTTGTGACTGCAACAGACAGCACACTTCAAAGTGGCATCGAATCCATCACCATTATGGATGACAATATGGCAGACTGGTACCCATCACATGTTCAATCCCCATAACAGCTATGTGTCCAGTTAATTGTCCTTGAACAAGAACCCCCAGCAGCTCACCCAGCTCAAGTCGCTCCTGATGGAGACTCACTTAATACCAAGAAGAGCAACACAAATACGGTACTGCTATTCATTAAATTGTACAAGAAAACTTTTTAAAACAAAACACTATTTCACAAACACCTGGCACACAGCAGAAGATGGCAATTAAAAATATCTAGGCTATATATTTTTCTCTTTAATTAATCTGAGTACAATGAGAGTAAGAGTGTCCAGACTGACACCGAGGCATCTGAAAATTTCTGCTATAGCATGAAAATACTGTGACAGACAGCAGATGCATGCCTGCCGGAGGACACAGAGAACGAGGGCCTGAAACGAACACATACATGGCACCGACTGTCAGCGAGACTGTCTCAAGGACAGAGAATGATTCTACATGCTATGGCTTTTGGCTGAAAGGCAGCAGGAGCTAGAGAATTAAAAATGTATCCATAATGGGGGCAACAGTTTCCATTTTCACTAGCTCATCACTTTCAGTTTAAATGTCAAGATCATTACAATGACCGAAGAGTGAGAAAATCTTAAACTGTGTCCAAATTGGATGCTGCTGTATATACTAGGTCTTACCCTGTTATTAAGTCAGTAGTGCATCCATGCTGGTAAACGAACAAGGAATGTATACAGTATATGAAAATTGCAGCATGCTGAAGTCACTAGACTTTTTAGGGTGGTGTTGATTATTGCAGCACATTGCAAACAACTAAGTGGATATTGATACAACAGCTCAAGGGACATCTGAGAAAACAAATTATATGATGAATACTTTGTAAACATTGTGCTATTAGTAGAACAAAATGAAAAACACTAACAAGCAAAGAAATGCACAGTTATACTAAGTCCACATTATTAGTGTATTATATTGGTACAAAGTATTAAGTCTTTTGTAAGGGATTGGGACACAGTGATGGTCCTCCCATTTCTTTGGTCCGGATTTTGCAAATTGAAACCACAGCCTCTTCTTTATGTGCCACCTCACTGCTGGCACAGCATGCACAGGCATACTTTTCAACACCTGGTGCTGCACATCAGTATGTGATGAGAGGTTAAAACTAATGCCTCAGCTGACAGCTGTTGGTGTAGAAACCTTCTCTAGGGTCAAAAGCGTGAGCCCGGCATTATGGCCTCTATGAAACCAGCCACATGTAACCTCCACTGGCCTGAAGGTGCTGGTAACATTAATGAAAACACATTTGTGACTGAGGCCCGTGTGTTAGATTGTTAAGGCGTGCTAATGTGTGTTCAATCATTACCTGTCGATGTTTTAGCTTTGACACACAGTAACTGTCAGAATGAGACATGGACGCTAATGTGGAGTGAGATTTACAAGAGACCACAGAGCAGGTCTGGACATCTTCGGAGGAACCATGCAGCGTCAGCTGTCAGGTGCCTGGTGGCTGAAATGAACTGCAGCTACATGCTGTAACACTAACTCAGCATTTTAAAATAAGGCCCCATTAGGTGTGTTTCTGCTTGAAATATCCACCAGAAAGTAGTGCAACAGTATGAAGTCATAGCCATTACAGGATGTAATGAATGCTCATTACAGACTGGGGTTAAATGCTGAGAACACAACATGACATCAATCGGGGGAACAATGCTGGGTGTTTGCCATTGTACCGTATGTGAGCATGAGGGCTTCTAATAGTTAAGATGTGTGCATCTCTCTCTTTGTATGTCCATGTATGGTACTTACTCCTTGGGTGGGTTGAGGTCTTCAGGTCTAGTCTCAAAAAACACCCTGACCTCCTCACACTGTGAGATGTAGACAGGCAGCTGAATGAGGGCCTGCAGACACAAAGGAACAGGAAAGGTAGGTAACCACACAAAGTGACAGGCCCACTCATTTCAGTATATGCAGATGTCACAGTTTTAAATATAGTATTTATTAAGGTCTGACCTCCATAAGGTCACAGAACAAAGAATTTCTACATATAGTATTTAACTGAATTTTCAGACTACCCTTCCAGAGCAAGGATAAACATTGTAGTTTAGAAAAGGTATGAAGCAAGTACCTAAAATTCATTATCTAAACAAATGAACTGGTCTTTCTCATTAGCTAGCTGTGTACAATCTTTCCTCACAGACATAGAAGTTCAACAATTAATAGTTCTTTTCTTCACTTCACAGGGACACTGCATTTTTGGTCACATCTGTTCCTGAGTGAACTACACATTCAAAACGTCACCACATAACTATTAATGTTTCAGTTTCCTCATCTCAAACAAAAATAACTTCACTGCATCAATATGTTTTTGCAAAACATCAGAACAGGCCTCGCCCACTTCTGCCTCAACACAAGTTGAAAATTTTCTCCCAATCTTTTTGAGCTCCTCCCTTAATAATTTTTCAATGACCTTGAAAAAGTTTTGTGTTATTATATGCTATGCTGTTTTTGACTGCCAACTCTGTGTGGCCACTTTT